CACATTTGCATTTAAGACTATGCTCTTTTTGCAACTTCATCAAGCATAAGCAGAAGTTCCACCTTTACCCTCTGACCTTAAATGTTATTAGTTTGGCTTCATGAAGCAGACTTCTGTATCTGCTTCCACTTCATTTCTGGCATTTTATATAATAGGCATTTTCCCTATGGTCTACTACTTTCCCTGTATTTCTCTATAGTGGTCAGCAGATCAAGTTTCATAACATATTAAGATGTAGCCTGCTTTTATCAAATGTATTTGGCTTCCCACATCTTCTAAAATAGTAAATATTGATCCAATCCTTTGCCCAAAAGCACACACAGAGCCCACCATGCCCGGGGCCCATTAGGTTTTGAAGTAGCTTGCATTCAATTCCTGATGAATTTTATTTTATCTTACATAATTGAGGCTGCAGCCTTTAGATCCCACTAGGAAAATTACCAGCATATGGAATGCATATAAAATGACATGCAAAGCAATGCAAATTAATACAAAACATACCTCTCTAAATTGCTTGGGAAAAGAAACTTTGAGTCTGTCTGCTCTGCTTCTCTGCACTCTAGCTAACAGTGACGAGACCCTTTACAGTTAACTTCACATAGCACCTCACACCTGATACTTGTTGCCATGCCAAGTGGAAGGTGTCCCACCTGTGAGGCAGGCAAATGGGATCTGAGTTAAGAGCTCTAACTTTGCCACTGTTTGGTTCTACAGCCTTGGACAGGTTCTCCAGATTTTCCAGCTCTCAGATTCTACATCTGGAAATGACATCATCATAATAAAACCACAACACTGAGGCTTACGAAGCGGTCTCAAGTGCCAGGCACAATGTACACATGCATACACGGCACATGTTTGACATCCACCTGACTACAATGTGCATACACTGTGCAATATGTACACCTTATGATTATGTAATGCACACAAGTGCAACAACTCATGGAGAGGTGTACAGAGTATGCACCTCTTAGGTGTGGCGCCATTTCAGAGTCTAGGAAACCAAGGCAGAAAGGTCAGGGATCCTGCACAAGGTCATCACCTGGGGCGTGGCAAGGCCAGAACTGAGGCCTCCACAGTCTCCAACAGGGGCTGCTCCTAGCCAAGGGTCAGCTCTATTGTGTGGCGTCCTGTTTTTCCTAATCACTAAATTTCTGTGATCTGTGAAGCAAAATTTCAAATTTCACAGTCATATGTGCTTCAAAGTATGGTTTCAGTAAGATACTGGTGATGGTTAATGTTGTGTGAATTTGATATCAAAATGCCAATACAGTTAGTCAGATTTTACCTAAAATTCCAAGAGTAGGAAGAGGTGGGAGGTGTGAGGTTCCAGCTAGCCTGTTCAACCTCTCATTCTGATTCGCTCCACTCCATCGGCAAATAAACACGTGTGAGGCTCACTCATCTTAAAACAGTCACTACTCTGTTCCCCCTTCACCTGAGTCAGCAGTTGCAGGGAGTGAGGTGTGGCAGCTACTGCCCGCCCCCAGGCCAGCACACACACACACACACACACACACACACACACACACACACACGCAGACACACACGCACACACCATGCAGGATGCTCAAATTTGGTAGAGACCCAGCACCGTGTTGGTTTTCCTCCCATACTTACCTACTCACCCCAGGTTCTAAATAATCACCCCCAGGTTTCTTGGAGGGCTCACCAGGGTCTGCTCTATCTAGCACTTATTTCCCCTTAGAACTCTTGAAAGCAGCTCAGAATTAACCAGACTTGTCTTTGCTCTCCAGGTCTGCCCCCACCTTGCTCCGTTTTTCGTAAATGCAGCACCATCTAAGTACTCAAGTCCCAAAGTAGAAAGGGTCATCCCACACTCGCATCCCACATCAGAAGTCATTAAGTCACCCCAGGGTCCTCCTGGAGACCATCCACCAATGTCAGCCCCACCGCCATTACCTTGGCTTCCAACTGTCTATTTTCCGAGTGCCTCAAACTCATGTTCCACACAGCAACCAGAGTTCCCGTTTGTTTTGAAGCTAAAGTTCAACAGGGTGGGACCCAGCGATTCCACTCCTAGGAATCTACCCAAAGGACACAAAAACATTAATTCAAATGGATACCTGCACCCCTATGTTTACTGATGCACTATTTACAGTAGGTAAGATATGGAAGCAACAGAAATGCCAAAAAATAAATGAATGGATCAAGATGGGGTACATATACACAATGGAATACAATTTGCCAATGGGAAAAAAAAATAAACTCATGCCATTTGCAGCAACTTGGATGGAGCTAGAAGGGGTTATGCTCAGTGAAATAAGCAGAAGGAAAAAGAAAAATATTGGATGGCTTCACTTATAAGAGAAACCAGAAGTAAGGGTCAAAATACGGGACCAGGAAGAAAATAATTATAATACATTTAAAAAACATTAACAGGCAACTATTAATCAGAGACACTCAGCAGGGGAAGGGTAGGGAGCGGGGTCAAAACAGGGGAGGGAGTGTGTTCTTATACAAGGGACTGTGGGGATGGTGCACAGGTGAATTGGTGGTGGAATTTTTCAGGGACTACACCTGAGAGGAGAACCATCATGCATTGCACAAAAAGGAAGAACGACATAAAACACACATAAAATGAAATGAAATAATTGAAAAGACACTGTCTGAGGATCAGTTCCACAAAATAGCCAGGTCAACTTGCCCTGGTACCGGCAGACCCCAGCAATTCTCCCCTCAGGAGAATTGAACCTTGAACTCTTGAACCTCCTTTCCTTATTATGTCGCTCTCCCCAAGTGGTCTTCAGTACTCCATTTCTGAGGGAGGAGATGCACTTCCTTTTCTCTTCTTCCTGCCTCTGCTTTAATTCATATACACTCATTCTTAAATCTCGCAAGACCTCCTGGCTCCCCCCTCCCCCCCACTCAGTGAGCTACAGGGCCTGGGCGGCTGTGCTCTCACCACCAAGTTGCACACAGCTGAGTGCTCAATATCGCTGCACGGATATATTAACTTTTCAACCTTGCATCATACAATCTAATTGCTTTCTTCCTGCCCTGGAGTCTAAGAAGGAAATCCTTTGAGGGTGACAAGTTTAACTTCTAATAATGTTGCTATGATCAGCCCAAAACCAGCCTGCCATACTTTCAGCACCAGGGGCTCCAGTTGTTGGTGATTCTCCAGAGAGGGAGCAGTCTGGACACTGTGACCTATAGTTTGATCTGCCTGTACACCCTCCCCAAACCCCACCGTGACTTGAGTTCATTCAAGGTCAGCATGATAATTATGACCTATGGGGGGGGGTCAGTTCCCCAAAAGGGTCAGGAAGACTTCACAAGTAGACTATAATAAGCCTCTCATCACTTTGGTATGGGAACTAGAGGTCAATCCAGTTTCTGCGAGTCTCAGGAAGGCTTTTCCATTCTTTTGTGAGAACAGAAAGGGCCCTGAAAGCCAGGAGAAGCTTCTATTCTTGCCCTTCCCTAATCAAAATAAATAGCAGTGTGTCCTAACCTTTTGCCCTTCTCCTAATAGAAGAAGCAATTGCTGTCCCCGTTTAAGACCTAGAAGAATGTAGCTTGAGGGACTCGCCTAGTTCTAGTGTTATCATTTAAGATGTTCTAACTCAGTATTGAAGATAGTATCAAAAAGCTGTCCTAAGAGACAGTTAAAGTTCCAGAACTGTCCAGATGGAGATACGCTTTACCCACATAAGATCAGAGGCCGTGACTTCTATGTCTACCAAACTACTCGGACACTTAAATTAATATAATCCCCAAACTCCTTAATCGCCTGGTTCTCAGCCCTTCAACTTGAAGGAGAAGAGGACAAGATGCGTGCCCACACTAAGTCCTTCACGCTGCCACTCCAGCAAAGGACAATGTAGTACCCAGGCTACATTCAGGTGGAAAATCTCCCTGTCTCGGGCAAGCTTAGTTCTTAAATTTACAAAAAAACAAAAATAAAAAAGCTCATCCCCTAAGTAAAGAAGACAACTGACTCAACCGCCAGACCTCTTGGCTGGGATCCCCAGGGGGATCCGTGGTGGGCAGGCGCCACCACCTCGCTGGGGGACGGTCCTGGCCCGTTCTGAAGCAAGTGAAACTTGACCTTAAAAAGCCAAGTAGCTTGCCCAGGCGGCAGGGCGGCCCCCAAACTCAAGAGACAACCTCCCACCCCAGCCCTCTCCGTCAGCCCTAAGCGCGCGCACACACCATCCCGCCTTGTCCTACCGAAGGAGTCTGCAAGCAGCCGGTTCCCTCACGCCGCGTCCCTCTCTCGACACCCAGGTCCCGGGTCGCGTGTGGCACCGCGGGGCCCGGGCTACGGGGTGACTGGCGGGAGGGTCCGGGAACGCTTGTCAGGATCCCGGCTCGGTAGGTTCCTCGGGGACCGCGCCCTGGGCGCCCCTCACCTGGGCGAGTCAAGGTGGGCAGCGGCCAGGAACCCGAGACTGCGGGACCCTCGCCCCGCCAAGGACGCGTTCGGAAGCCGCCCGCTCACCCTCCCGGGAAAACCCCGGGGAAATCCTGGCGCCGACGCGTCCAGCCACTCGGCCTCCCGCTCCGCGTGGCCCGGGAGCCGGGGTGCGGGAGCAGGGCCCGCCTCTCCCAGGACACCCCGGCCGCCGCGCGCCAGCCTCCCCGCCGCCCTCTCTTCCCAGCGCCGGCTTCGGGGAACTTTAGCGTCCAGCGGCCGCGCTGAAGTTTCGGGGTCCGCCTAGCGCTTGGCAAGGTCGCCCACCCGGCCCGCTTCTCCATCTCTGTCCGCTGGGAGCCCTCATCGGCCCCCCCGGACACCATCGCAGGTCCGCGGGCGCGGAGCCCGGACCGGTCTCTACCCGGGGCTCCAGGCAGCCGCCGGGACTGACGCCCCCGACCCCATCCCGGAGAGGGACGCGGCGCCCAAGTTTCCCTCAGCCGCAAAGTGAAAGTCGCGAGGAAAGGGGTCGGGGCGTCCCGGCCACCCCGCGACTGGAAAGCTCCCGCGCTCCGGCCCCGGGTGTTCCTCGCTGGCCTGCGTGGCCCAGTCGACTTACGAAAGGGAGCGGGGGAGCCCCGACAGCGGGGTCCCCGCGGCTGGAGAGGCTGCCCCGGCGGGAGCCGCAGGCTGCACTCCGGGCGCCCTAGCCGTGTGCGGCTGCGGCGGCGGCTGGCTCCCGCCTCCTCTTCCTTCGCCACCTCGGCGACGCGCCCAGCCGGGGAGTTGTTCTCCCTCGGCCGGGGGTGGGAGAGCGCCGAGCGCCCCCGTGACGTGGAGAAAGGAGGAGCGCCGCCGCTGCGTCCCCGCAGAGGGAGCTCCGGCCCCTGCACTTGGTGTCCTGCTCTGCGCTTGGGACAAAGTTCCCAGGCGTGCGCAGGGCGCTAAGCTCGGGTCGAGACTCTGGGCTCTCCACCGCGGCCTTTGGGCGGCTTCAGGTTCAGCACCGCCCGGTGTCAATACACTATAGCGCGAAGTGACTTGCCCAAAGTCGCTCTGAGGATAGTGACAAAGCAAACTCACATCCACTACTCCTGGCTTCCCCCCAAGGCCGGGCTCTGCAGGGCTCTGGCCCTGCGGGAGTCGCCTTGCAGAGACAGAAGGCGCTCTAGCACGCAACCTGGGGAAATATCTAGAAAGCAGCGTGGGAAGAAGCTTTCTGTCCAATAAATAGGTACCAAGGTGGTTTGTGTGTGTGTGTGTGGGGGGGGGGGTTGTTGTTTGTTCATCAGTGCCTACATGCCAAGCGCAAAGGTTTCCTCTTTATCCTCAAAGGGGTGGGGGGTAAAGGCAGGCATAGTATCCGGACTTTTTTTTTTTTTTTTTAACAAGAAAAAAGGACACACACCTACTGAACCAATTAGCAAGTTCTCGCTGGTCTCTTTGGAAGAGGGAGGAGGACGTGACTATTTGCAATCCTAACTTTCAGATTTTGCCGGTCGTGATCAGCTTCTTTTCCTGCTCTCAGGCTCTCGGGGCCTGAGACTAACTTGGGAAGTTAGTTCCAGCTGGTTTGTTCTAGGATCAGTTGATGGTTCCTGGAGATCTGGGTAGGACCAAGGAGAACCTGGTACTCTGTGAACCCTAAATAGGACTCCCGGGGTGGAACCCCACATTCTTTATTTCTGGGACCTGAGTCTACCCTACCTTAAACAACAACAAACCCCATGTGCTTTGGAAGCAAGCATTTTAATATCCATTTTGCAGTTTATTTTCAAGCAAACAAATATCTGCTTTTGCACTCCTCTCCTCGCCCCAGTGGGGCCACCACTATCTGGAAATCACTCTCCCAGCAGCTTCATTTGCACATGATAAGGGTGGTGGCGATAAGGGTGGAGGTAGAAGGTGGGAAGGAGGAAGAAAGGGAGGAGGAGGGGGACTAGGGTAAAGGAAAAAGGAAGAAACTGATTCTTCTATTAACCCTCTTGATGCTATTCTAAGCTTCCTGGAGATTAATTTTCAATCCCCACAACAGAATCAGGGTGGTGCCATTTCTATTATGATTTTATAGATGAAGAGAGACAAGCAAGATAAAATAACCTGTCAGGTGGTCAGTCCATGTTCTTAACAACTGACAAAACTCAGGCCCAGCCCTCCTTGGTTAAAGGGCAGCACTGTGCCTGCCCGAAGTCACTGCAGCACTGTGACAGGGTGTCCCTAGGAAAAGGGGAGGTTCCAGGTTCCCTGCCCCACCCAGGAGGGTGGAGCTGAGCAGAGAAAAAGGAGAGAAGAGAAGGAATGAGAAGAGAGGAGAAGGAAGCTGGATGGAAACCAGAAGGAGACCTGAGGAAGCCACATGGAGCAGGGAGCATGTGATGAAGAAACCATGCTTGTTTCCTGGCCCTGGACTGGTTAAGGCAGATGTGGGTGAGATACCTGTAGGGAGGTGACTATGGCTGTGTTTATATCGATTTTGATTTTGCTCTTTTCCTCCCAGATTTGTCTGGCCATTTCTGACCCTTTTCCATGGGTCCCGGCCAGAAGGTGCTTTAGTCTTGTGGCGGGCTTTCAGGCCTTGCTTTGGGCCAACCCCTTTTGGGTTGTCTTTTGCCCACAAGGGGATGGGTAACTTCGGGTGTTTGATTTAGAAGTTATATTCTTTGTGTTCCATATTGTATATTTACTGTATTAACGTCCCTTTTTTCATAAAAGTTTTATATGTTTTGTCTTGTTGCGGCAGATGGCAGAACCCACTTAGAGCAGCCAGTTTTGGGGCTTCAGGGGGCGTCCCTCTCCCCCTGTCCTGTAACAGATTTGGGGAGCCCTGTAACAGAACCAGTTCCATTCCCCACCTTCTGCTCCCCTCGGCAGTGATTGTTCTGTTCCCTACTCTGTCGGTCGTGAATCCTCCTGCAGCACCCCCCACTTCTGACCTGTACCCCAGTTCTTGTATGCATAAATAAAGTTAAAAAAAAAAAACAACTCAGGCCTTCAGACTGGTATTCAAATGGGCCACTAGATTAAGAGGATGTGTTTAATATACACCATGGAATACTTCTCAGCTATTAAAAAATGAAATCTTGCCATTTTGCAACAAGGATAAAACTGTGGAACAGGGTGGTTCCCAGGAAAAGAGGAGGTTCCAGGGCCCCTACCCCACCCAGAGGAGGGTGGAGCTGAGCTGAGAAGAGAGGAATCTGGAGAGGAGTCTGAAGGAAGCAGGATGGAGAGCCTGGTCTTGGACCTCACTTTACCCTCTTTCACAACTTCTCCTTGACCAGTGACCTCACCTTATCCCCCTTCACATCTCCAGCCCAGTCTCCATCCTAGCCCTCAACTTTACTTTACCCTCTAAGATGTCTCAATGAGAATGAAGATCATTAAGTAGCATTTAAGGTTTAAAGGGACTTTATTTTAGCCAGTCAACACTGTAGCAAATATAACAAAGTTAGCCTTGAATTTTATGAATTTATGTACCTATCTTAACTTTAATAGATTGATTTTAAGAATAATGAATGTTGTATCTCAGCTAAAGGGCAATACGACTCTAAACTGTTCTTATGGGAAAAAAAAAGATGATTGTAATCTCTCAGCCCAGTTCATGTGTTAATGTCATCCCACTGCTTGCTCCTAATGTATAAACTTCTGCTAAAGGCAGAACAGGAAGACTTGCACCCAACTCCAATTCCCGTGTCTTCCTTGCTCCCCTTTCCCCTTGCCGCTCCCACCTTGAGACCCTGCCTGTTCTGCCCCCCAATAATCCGTCATCGGGGAACAAAAGGTCTCCGACAGGAGAACTATGCCTTGTGAGGCCTGGTAGAATCTGCCTTCTGAAGTTTCATTGCAGATGAGAGGCTGAGAAGAATGCAAATATGCACCATATCATGGATAAAAAGACAGTGAATTACTTTGGCTGTGATAATAGTATGCTGTGATGCTGCAGCAATTAGCAAGTTTTAAAAACGGCTCTTTCCTTTCATTAATTTTATTTGATCTTTAGAACAATCTTGAGTGTCTTCAGGGAAAAAAAAACCTGTCTTATAATAAAAAATCCTGATTCTCAAAGGGATTAAGTACTTAGGTCCTATAGCAAAGCAGTTGGAGTACTGGTATAAAAGACACTGGCCTTGATAGTCCTCCTTCAGGAATTTTCCCAGCAAATGATGTTGCCTCCTGGACCAAACTGCCAGTACTGGTTGTGCCACTCTTGACCCAAGGAAAGCCTTTGAAGCACAGGGTGATCCTGGAAGAGTGAAAAGTCTCCCTAAAATGCCATGTGGATCCCAATTGAAATTGTGATAAACCTGCTCCAGATGCCTGAACCGGTTTCAATAAACCTGAGGATTTTCAAATGCATTAGTCTCCTTTGTCCTTCAAAGACATAGTAGGATCCAGTGACCTGCAGAGCTTGTAAGGAAATAGGGATCGTTTATCATAAGAAAACAGGGATTGAATGAAACTTGAAGATATAGAGAGACATTATGAGGACAAGATGCCAAATAACACCCTAAACACTAAATCAAAATGGCAGAATCTACAATTGAAGCTCAGTGTCTCAACCTTGCAGTCACTCCTAGGTAAAGCACAGTTTGGCAAGTTTTGAAGATGTTTGATAAGAATCTGGGACTATCACTTGCAACTGGAAACCAGCAGGGGGTCTAGTTTGGGCCTGAATATCTTTTACTTAATAAGCAGGTAACTCCATGCATCCTCTGTTTACTGTCTTTAAAGGTATATTTGAGGATGAAATGCTGTTGAGTCTATTGTGATTCACTGAGTTCTTGCTTGTGCAAAATGTTAGGCTGGTTACTATGGGAGAATACAAAAATATAAAAGACAGTCCCTGACCTTGAAAAAGAATCCCATCTAATTTAGGAGATAAGACATAGATTAAAAATGGTGTAAGTGGGGCTGCTGTGGAATTCACAGGCAGTTTCTCTTCATTGTTTTCTGTTGAGATGAGATGCAACTTCTCAAAACCAGGCCCTCCCTGTTACCTTTTAAAACATAATGGCCTGCCCCACCTCCATGTCACCTTTTATCCTGCTCTATCTATGGGTCTATATGACATTTACCACCATCCAAAGTTAAATTGTTCACTTGTTCACTCTACAGACATATACCCATGCTCTTTGCTGTATTCCCAGAACCTAAAACAATGTTCTCATTAAATAATTGTTAAATAATAAAGTCCATATTAGTCAGCTGAGATGAGTTAAAATAACTTTAATTAATGTATTATTTCCCACTTTTACGTCATGACTTTCCGAGGCACCTGTTGAAAGAATACCCTGGAGACGCTTCACTAACACTACAGTGAGGCCCAAGAATCTCTTTTTAAAAAACACACTCCAGGCCCTCTCTGGTGGCGCAGCAGGTTAAAGCATAGTACTAAGAAGCTGAAGCTACTTTTGCATGAGTTCGATCCCCGCCTGCCCTGGAGGTGACCACATGGTGCTGCAGACCTCTCCTGGCCCACCTGCTGTTCCCCTCAGCAGTGTACTTTGTCATCTGGCCTGTTCTGCTCCCCACTCTGTCTTTGGTGAATCCTCACGCTGCCCCTACACCTCTGCCCTGTACCCCAGTTCTGTATGCATAAATAAATAAATCTTTTTAAAAAAAATCACATTCCAGATGGTTCTTGTTAAGGGGCAGACTAGGAAATAAAGAATCAAGGAAGTGAGTGATGGTGGGTGAGAAAAAACTGATGAGCACAAGTCTCCGAGGTTAGTGGCTACTGAGTGGAATCCTCTGGAGATTTAACTAATACCAGCCCACAGTCTCCACTCCAGAGCAGAGAAGGACTCTCCCAAGTTTGACTGCCTGTTCTTTCATTTGTCCCAAATGTCTTCTTACTTTTTTTTTTTTAATCTAAGATCCAACATTTTCTTAAATCTTCATCTCCATAAACTGCATTTCATTTTGGGCCATTTTAATAGAAACACAGCTTGTTTTGTTCTGTTTAATCATTTCATGACAGTTAATGGATAATGAACAGAAAGCAAAACACTGTGCAGAGATGAAGCTGCTGGATTATTGGCAAGACTCACCTGCTAGCTAGGTAGCTTGTCTCACCACATTGTTACCTCTAGCTTTGAAGGACACAGCCCAAATTCATCTCAAACTGCTCTGTTATGGAACTTTAAGGTTGTCTTGGGTATAGCTAAAAACAGAAATGTTAATTGTTTTTGCCCTTAAAATACCACTACTATATTACAGCTTCAAATGTTTGCATTTCTTGTTACTTCTACAGCATCCTCAGCGAAGAGTCTAGATGAAAGAATATGAACTTACAAATATGCCCAAGGAATTTACAGGCTGACCAGGTAGCCTGTCTTTAGTCTTAAATGAAGACCGAGGCAAGCTGTTTTGGCTTGTCCTCAAATTTTATTCCTCTTAAAATGGTGAAAGAGCTAGGAATGTGAAAACATTGTAATCACATTTAAACAAAAACTTGTCACATTCTTGGCTCGTATGTGTCTATAACAGTTCTAACTCTGGTTTCCTTCTGTAAAATATGCCTCAATAAACACAAGAAGAAACACAAAGGAAGAAAGTCCAAAGAAACACATGGGTTATGTGCTGTCAGCCAGCTACAGCATGGAGGTTCCAAAGGAGCTTTAAAGCCAAGTGTGATGGTCACATGCATTCATTTAAAAACAAAAGAGTATTTCCCCCTGAAATGTGCATTTGAGCAATATCTCAAAAGAACAAGTTTGCTCATTCTTTATACTTAAAACTTCCTAGATTAGAGTCTCAGGAACAGATACCAATGGAACAGAAACCGTCCATTAAGTCTTCTGCATTCCATCTTCTACTAATGACTGTTTCATCTGTCCTGACTGCCTGCCACTCATCCATATGAGCAAACACTGACTCCCTCAGAATGTGTAGGAGGAAGGAGTCAATAAGGTCACTATCATCCAGAGTGATGTCGACTCTGATCATTTAACATTCAGGCTGCTACTTCTAGCTGAGAGAGGAACTATATGGTATCAGACAAATGAACTCTGAAGCCAGATCAATAGGTTCAAATACTGGTTCCAACATTTAGTTAACACTGTGGCTTTTAGCCAAGTTACTTCATCCTGTACCTCAGTTTCCTCATATGTAAAATGGTGTAATATTTCCTACCCCTGAGGGTGTGGTGAGGATTAAATGGGTGCTTACAACAATGTGTGGCATGTATTAAGTGCTCAATAAACATCAGCTCTTACTCGAACTTCTTTCCCCTCACACATATGGACTTTTAATGGCAGAGTCTAGACTCTGGACAGCCGAGTATGTATTTCTACACATTTATTTCTCTCAGTTCATCAAGGTAATGGAATTTCCCTGGCTAGTGGCTGATTCAGAAATGGGAAGAAGGTATAATTCTAATCATTGAGTCACAATTTCCTGAGGTAGTATCAATATTCATGGAAGGTTTCTTCCCAAAAGATTTACATTGGAAGAAAATGCTCCTTCTCATGATAGTTTCTGCATGCACCTTGTCCCAGCAGAGCCATCTTTGTACTGTAAAAGAAACTGGAAGAAAGATGGAGACAATAACATTGTTGAGTAGACGAAAGGCACTGAAGTCCCTATGACTAGACTTGTTATAAATAATTTTCCCTTATTGTTTAAGTCATCTGAGTTACTGTGCTTAGAAACATCCTGACAGAGGTTTCATTTTGAACCCAGAACTGGCAAAACATCTAGATTACCCAGTGTTCTCACAGGGATGATCTAGGGTAAGGAATGCTCTGGACCGCAAGCATGGCTGATGTGGATAGACCCTTTTGTTACTTGGTTTGGATAATGCTTAGCAGGACTAGAGCAAAAGGTGTTATGTTGGTTACCAAATTGGTTTAAAATTTTAAGTGGTGTTTAGTGTTAGTAGAATTGTAAAATAGTTTTATAATTGTATAATTATGTTTATATTATCCAAAATTTTAAACCAATTTGGAAAATTAAGCTTAATAATTTGACACTAAAATGAACACTTAGAACTGTGAGATCTTTTGTATTATAAACTTAGAATATATGACTTTTGCAAATTTTAATTACTAAATCAAATGCATGCTTCAAATTGTTCTTTTAAGACATTTTGTAAATTACCAAAGAAATGTGTTTTTAAAGCTGAAAGTAAACCGCAAATTTATTCTCTTACCACCCATAGCATAAATCCCTTAGGCACTAGGTTGTTTTTATAGCATTTCAGAACTTTCACCACAGATCAGCACACACATAATTATACATACACATTTCATAACTTATAATGTGTATATAGCAATGTTACACATGCACTTTGCATTAAACAATGTTCATTTAACAAGATACATTTTCACCTTATATTTATAAGTTCCCATGTTAGTATATATTTTCCCAAATGGTTTATGTTTTAAATATTTCCTTAAATAATAAAAGTTGTATAGACTATCTCATTTAGATCATTTAAGAATTAGGAAAAAAAGAAGGTAGTGAAAAAAAGATTCTTGTCATTCTCAAACTTTATTATTTAGGATCATGAACATTTACAACAAACTCTCAAAGGAAAAAAAACCTAGTATGTCTTTACAGTTTTATTAATAAACAAATGTTTCTATGCTTTCTTTGCAGATATTTAAAATTTTATATCTGACTAGAAGGCATATACAGATAATACAATTTCAAAGGTTGCCAAAAAGTTTGGCAGTTAAAATCTTTCTCCTCCATTCTCCATAATTTTTCTCCCCACAGGCAACTGCTAACCAGTTTCTTGTACTTTCTAGATATTTAAGATTTTATATTAAAAAAAAAAATAGGCCCTCCCTGGTGGCGCAGCAGGTTAAAGCACAGCACTGAGAAGCTAAAGCCACTTCCGCATGAGTTTGATTCCCGCCTGCCCAGGAGGTGATCCACATGGCATGGCAGACCTCTCCTGACCGGCCCGCTGCTCCCCTCAGCAATGTACTTTGTCGATCTGCCTGTTCTGCTCTCTACTCTGTCTCTGGTGAAGCCTCTCGCTGCCCCTGAGCCTCTGGCCTGTACCCCAGTTCTGTATGAACAAATAAATAAATCTTTAAAAAAAAAATCATAGCACTCCCCCCATTCGACCATCTACGAGAGTAATTTTTATTGCAATTTCATCTTCTCTATACAACTGACAAAGAAGAAATAGAATTAGATCCCAGCATTAACTAGCTTACTTAGAAAACTGAAGTAGTGACAGATAAGTCAAAAAAAATACAGCCATCAAGGGATCAAGATAGATCCTTGAGTAAACTAATAAACTCTTGAATATGTCTTTCTCTAAAAAAACAAATTCACAAGGATGCAGCAAAAGTCAAAGGTAAAATGCAACCTATTTTAAACAATCAGCTCTCAAATCAATGCTTGTACTAGATCCTAAGACTAGTACAGTTACAATTCTATTAACACTAAATATCACTTAAAATTTTTTAAATTAAAAAAAATTTAAAGTTTTACATTTTAATTTCAAGACAAAATTCAAAATAAACAGGGGAGGTGGCTGGAATGGTCTTGTTTTAAGTAGACTCACTTTAATGGGCTATGTTGGACCAATAATCGTATTATTTATCCTTGCTTCTCCAAGAACAACTGTTATTTACACAAAGGTAAGGATGGTCATTGAAAAAAGTTTTAAATTTATGCTATTAAAAAAAAAGTCAATATACTTACTTCAAAAAATGCCTTTATTTCAATGCCAAAAAGTATTACCATAACAAGAACTGAAGTTGCATTTTTTTCATACAATAAACACACATCAAAGTAGTAATCCATAAAATCTGTGTTCAAATAGGTCTACCTGACCACACAAGAGAAAATATGGATGTTCTTAATGATAACTTATTAAGAAAACAAGGCATTAGAATGTTAACTCCTCACATTCCACATAGAACTTCCAGTGCTGATCCATGACATGGCATGGGAGAAATTCTTGATCATTGATTAACAGTATTTCATTTATTTGCAGATAATGTGGGATGCTTTGCATTGACTCTCCAGAAGTTTCTGTGTAAACAAGTGTCAACAAGTTAAAAACTATCTTTCAAATAGATGTAAATTTACTTCATTCAAGTCCTAGACTCTAGTCAAGTCTATAAGCACACATGTCATTCTTCACACACTCCATTTTCTATACCTGAGATAAAGTTATAAAATGGCATTAACTGATCTTGGAAGAAAGAAGCTTGTTCGCACTCTAAATACCAAGGATAACTAAAACGTCTGAAGACAGCCGTATTAGCCCCTCTGTGTCTCAACTTCTAGTAAATTGAGAATAAAGCAGTTGTGAGAATTGAATTATTACTCTAAAATGTTTATATACTATCTAATGTATAGCAAACAACACATACTAGCTGCTATACATTATTAGTGAAAAGAGTATTAGACTAGAAGATGGACAATCAATTTTCTAGACAAACACCAACTTGGTATGTTTAAGCAAATTACAAGGCTTTTCTAGGCTTACATCTGCTTGGAGATACAAGAGAGATGATGAGTGGGACTCTTCTAATTCTGCCAGTATCCTAAAACTGTTGTCTTCTGATAGTTTCAGAGATTTCCTTTCTCAAGGATTAGCTATAGGAGCTTTATGTCACTGAGTAAACTGAATCTCATTCCACAGACAGCACCATGATGGGTGTGATCTCTACCAGGCAATTTCAGTTAGAGGTGTCATATAGTCCTAGACTAGATGTTTTTATAATGTTGAGCAATATATGTATGTAGTTACAAGTTTGTGTGGGCATCTGACACTTTCAATGCCTAGTATTTGCTTATCTTTCCAATGTTGAGCCTGTCCCAGTTTGCCTCTGAAGGACTATCCTTTTCCTTGCACTTGGCAATGGGGTCCTGGTGGAATTGTTCTCAATCTCCTAATTTATTCAGATACAAGGCAATCAACAATCAACAAACAGGCATTGAATTACAAATTAGAACATGACTCATTCAGTGGAAAGTTACGAGGCAATGAGCTCTTTGTCGGGTCTTCTGGAAAAATGTCATATCCATATTCTACTCTGGACTTGAACCTGGGAGCATGTATCTTGGAATGATGAGAGATGCAGTTGTCAGGATGAAGCTGAGAAATGGAAACCAAGAGAACCTGGATGCTAGTCATGCTATTTGAACCTTGACTAGGTTGATAGGCCTAGTAACAGTCTTTTATGTACATGAATCGCTAAAATACCTTTGGTGGGAAGAGAGTTAAATAAGCCTGGTTTGGGTTTTAAGCAGTCACAACCCAAAGAATTTTAGCTTTTTAAACATGGTAAACAGTAATTTCCTTATTAGGAGCTTTGTTTTATAGATGTTCTGAAACACAGAATCCCCACAAAAGCTGGGATGGTGTGCATTCTTCTCTCAGGAAAAATCCCCATGAATAAGGCTTTAAATATTTAATTCATTTCATTAAGATTGGCTGAGTTTCATTAGAGCAAGGATGGGCCTTTTTGCATAAAAAACCTATTGTCTCTTTACAAAGAGTAGGTCTTGCCTCAAAAGTTACAGACATAAGTAAAGGCGACCGTTAAGTGAGGACAGGAGGAACACAAGATCTGTGACAAGAAATCATCACTAGGGTGTTCACAGAGAGATCCCAGCAAAACTACAGAACGATAGGCAGCAGCTGCAAAGGAAGCGATTTGCCCTTCTTCCCAACCAAGAGGCTGGACTTAAGAGTGGCTCAAAATGGGGATGCCTAGATGATATCACAAATATGTCCAGAAAACAGCATTTTCAGATGGAAATTTGTTAATCTAGTCACTCCTAGAAGTGGAGTTTTCAAGAAAGTCATAGTAATGTTAAACATTTTTTTCATTTTGCTTTATTCATCTTTGTCAAATGTAAGGATACCACATATGTGAGAGCTTTCTATAGAATTGTAAAGTGTTATTCAGAATTACTTTGCACTCTAAAGTAGTTTTACTCAAAGGTGAACCTAGATTCACTCTTTCCCTTAAGAGCTGTTGATGAAATAAGAAAAAGAGACCATCTTCTGCCCACATCCTCTTATTTGAAGCAGAGCCAACTACATTATTAAAGTCAGTAGGGTGTGCAGTTTTAATTCATATCTTTCTCAACAGGCTAGCCATGATACAACCACTAGACTGTCTGATATCGCAGCTAGCACGTATTCACGTGGCTTCTTCTTCAAAGGCACAAAAGGTATGACAACTAAAAACCACCCCTATCTCCACTCAAGTTCACTGCCAGCATTATTCTAAAGCCCTATAACTAGGGCTTTAGAAAAGTACAAGTGGCTCCTCTACAGCACATGGTGACACTTTCTGGGAATACTGATGGAAATGAAACTCTAAGATAGTATTAAGACCATCTCCTAGTTTCTGACCAACCAGACTGGAAGAAAAAAAGAGACAATTACTCACAAAACAACAGTTTTCCCCACCTTTAGCTTTCATCTGCTGCTGTTTCCTCCTCCTTCTCTACCACTGATACTGCATTAGGTGTCTCCGAACACATGCCAAGGCATTCCGATACATTTCATACAGCTAGTGCTGTCCTCACTATCTACTTAAACCAGAAGCCTGCATCTTTGGCTGATAACAACTCCTAGCTTCCATTTCTTATTGCCGTTACCCACAAGAACATTCTCAATATATTGAGGGTGGGAGGTGAAGCCGGGGGAGGGAGGAGACAACAAAACAAAACATTGAACTAGACATGGGATTACCCATATAAGGAAACAGAAGGATACAGCAAAACTGATATCCAATTTATGATCACAGTTCGAATGAAAGAAATGAGGAAGAACAGAAGGATTTTAAAAATTCTATTATTGAAAAACTTGAGTGAGGTAGAAAGAAAATTCCCTGGGAGGTAGTAAGTCAATCACTTCTTTGCTGAAATAATTATAATCGTTTTGCCATGAGCACAAGGATCTCCACTATAGCTTTGTGACAAAGAATTTTTCCATCAAAATCTGTGAAGACCACTGTTCTACTCCATGGTAGGTGATGGGATGGGTGGTAGAAGCTCTTTTCCCTTAAGTTTTCATTTTTACTTGAGGTAGACCTAGTGAAAAGTCAATAACCTCTGAGATCTTTAAAACAAATTTCTACATAGTAGCACATTTAGCAGCACAATACAACTAGAAAGCAGTCATTTATCTGGATGTTACTCTTTTCTTGCTTCCTTTCTTCCCTGATCAGGAATTGTGCAGTGAAGGACTAATTCTAATCATGTATAAGGCACTGGGCAAAAAACTTTCTGTAATAATATCACCAAATATTAGATATTATGTACAAATCTACTTAAACTGAATCATGAGATTTGTTACAAGGCAAAATAATGAGTTCATGCAATTAACAATTCATGTTATCTACTTGCTCAAATTAACACTTCAAACTGACAAGCTAATTAGTAAGGTTATACATAATTTTAACTTTTACTCTTCTTTTTCTGTGTTTTCTTCAATTTCCCTTAATAGATCGAAAGCAAAAATAATAAGATTCAATCCTTTAACTGATGGTTGACTTTTGAAAAATCACTAACCAATGAATTTTCATCAAAACCATTTTATCTCTCTGGCTGTATTTCATTATCTATAAAACCCACACAAGACTAGTTGATATATAAGGTTCACTTCTAACTCCAAAATTGCTGAACTCAGACTTGCAGAAGTTGTTCTTATAAATTAAGCACTTTACATTTCATTAGGATTATGGAGTGAAACATTCATTACTCTGGTTATCACTGGAAATTAATATACTTACATACACATTCTTATTCTGAATTGGAAATATAATTCTATCAAAGGCAAAATGATTAACAATTATATAATAGATTGTAAAAACACATTTGCTCCATTTTTGCTGGGGAAAAATTTGCATTCAAATATTAAGTTCAATATCTCTTTAAAAATAAAAGGATCCTAAGAGATACAGTGAACAAGTTTATAGGATTTGATATTTAAAACTAAATTAACAACTTGATATAGAATTACGTTGGTAACATAAAAATATCATCTTTGAAAATGTACTGGAATCAAGAAATAGACTTTCATATTATATATTGAGATGTTTAAAACTATTTAAACCCTCAATCTTTGGAAATAATAGGTGGTTCCTTAAGCTGAATTGGGTTTGAGATACTTGACTTTACATATAGACTTCAGGGTTTTGTGCTTTTGTTATACTGACATCAACCCTGAAATTCTAAGCTTCTGAATTGTCTCATGTGTGCAAAATAATCTGGCAAAGGGCCTGCCTCATGGCTAATGTTCAATAGGTTTCTTCTCCTTCCTCTTATCAGTAAATGTGTCCTCTTTATAAATTAGGTCAAAGGAGTTCCAAACAGATTCTGGGGGGAAAATTATAATTAAAATGATAGAAAAAAAAGAATCAAAAGTAGTAAATAAGGAGTTGAAATAAACACCCTCTTGCTATTATCGGGAATTCATCTTCCTTGGGTGTTTAAGGTTTAAGACGTTCTTAACCACATAAAACAGAAACACCTGTGAGAGCTTGTATGCTATAACACATACTTTCACAGAGAAATGAAGCTGAATAACAGAACCAAAATGAAGAAAACTCTTTAATTTATTTACAACAGATTATCAGTATGTGAAAGATCATTTCTACTAAAAACTAAAAGTAGTCTAGTTTTCTTGGAAAAGCATGCCCTATTTTCAAATAAACAAATTCCCATGAAAGAAAATTATATCATCAGTGTGTGTTAAATGAGGACTTGAGAAAAGAAAAACCTTAGAAGATACTTTTTTCTTTAATGCATACATTTAGTTTAAGTGCTTTTTAAAAAATATAATGTAATAGTTTATTTTTACATCATTTTGTACATTTTTTTTTTCATCTCAATTGTAATCCCCATGGGTTTCCCATCACCGAGTCACCTGTGTGCTATCACTATAGTCCCGTGCACTTCCCTCCCCACCCCCCCACCCCCGTTTTTGATCCCATTCCCCACTCCACCCCCACAAAATGTCTCTGGTATGTAACTGTTCATTATTCTTATTATTTTCTCGCCTGGTCCATTATACTCCTGCTATGAGTGAAACCATCCATCTTTTTCTTTCTGGCTTATCTCACTAAGCATGAGCTTTTCCAGCTCCATCCAAGTTGCTGCAAAAGACATGTGTTTCTCTTTTTTGGTTGCTGAGTAATATTCCATTGTATATATGTACCACATCTTTTTAATCCAGTCATCTGCTTTTGGGCATTTGGGCTGCTCCCATGTTTTTCCAATAGTAAATAAAGCAGCAATAAACATGAGGGTATAGGTATCTTTTGAATCAGTGTTTTTGTGTCTTTTGGGTGGATACTTAGGAGTGGGATTGCTGGGTCATAGAGAAGCTCCATGTTAAGCAGTTTGAGGAACCTCCAAACAGTTTAAGTGCTTTTTTTTTTTTTTAATGGGTATGTTTGCTTGTTTTATTTTTAAACATTTACTAATTTATGCATACAGAACTGGGGTACAGGCCAGAGGTACAGGGGCGGTGAGAGGATTCACCAGAGACAGAGTGGGGAGCAGAACAGGCCGACTAAAGAAGTACACTGCTGAGGGGAGCAGCAGGTGAGACAGGAGAGGTCTGCTGTGCCTTGTGGGTCACCTTGGGGGCCAGGGATCGAACTTGCAATGAAGCAGCTGCTAATAGCTTGCAGTGTTCTGTCCTAACCTGTTGCGCCACCAGGGAGAGCCTTAAGTGCCTTTTTTTTTTTGGCTTAAGTATGTTTGAGTGTTTCATGCTATGGTGACAGGGAACATAAATACATAAAATTAACTTTATAGGTAAATTAAGGAAATGTGATCCAACCTAATACAATAGTTTTTAAGAAAACTATAATAAATGTCAATATTTCTGTACATAGCAATCACAAATTATCAAATTTAAGAAATGTTACTTTTGGCCCTCCCTGGTGGCGCAGTGGGTTAAAGCACTGCACTAAGAAGCTTAAGCCAATTCCGCATGAGTTCGATCCCCACCTGCCCAGGAGGAGATCCACATGGCGACGCAGACCTCTCCTGACCCGCCCGCTGCTCCCCTCAGCAGTGTACTTCCTCAGTTTGCCTGTTCTGCTCCCCGCTCTGTCTCTGGTGAATCCTCTCACCCTCCCATCTCTGGCCTGTACCCCATTCTGAATGAATAAATAAATAAATCTTAAAAAAAAAAAAGAAATTTACTTTTCCCCCTCTAATCTATACTGAAGTATCAGTGAAGAAGCCTTCAATGAGCAGGACTACAGCTACGAATGCAGAGAGAAGAGAGGCCCCATTGGCAGGAAGTTATATCATTTCAAGGGAAAATGCACCATGGACTATCTCTATTTTAAGGCTCAAGATGACTTTAGAGATAGTGATACTTCAAGGATTTCATCAACAGAATCTAATTTTTAAAGGTCTGTGTTTTATGTCTAAAATCTTAATTAGAAACATCATATACTCTCAAATGCATTAACATTTCACAATTTAACACTTTGGAATCCGTCAGTACGTTGAGTTGAACTACCAAGTTAACTAATTTTTGTATAGAATTAAGAAAACAGTTCCTTCCATTGCCTTTGACTGATTGAAGACAATATAAAATGGGAAAATAAAAACTTATTTAACTTTATGAATTAGGATTTTCTTAATAATATAGCTAAAATGATATGTAGAAATAAACTAGATGCTGATATTGCTGCTCTTTGTCCCATGAAATATTAATAGATATCATCTGATTAAATAAGTTCAGGCATTGTCGAATAACAAAGCTAAACAGATTTCTTTATAATTTGTTATGAAGTAGGGAGAGGATGGAAAGGGAAAGCAGAGATAGTTTTAAATTTGTCATTAAGACAATGTGAAGGGCAGTACTTAGACCTCACAATTAGAAGCAGAAAATTCAGATAATGGAGATAATATTTAACCAAAATCACATTTATCATTTGTTGAATACTTCACCACAAATAACATTACAGTCTATTAGATCTAGGATTATCCACTTGTTAAGACAGTCAATCACATCACAAGTAAATCAAGGTTTAAAATAGCTGTCCTTTGGAGCAGTCATGCTTCATTCACTCACTTATTCATTCATTCACTCAGTGAACATCACTTAGTTCATGAACCTTTACTGGGAAGCTACTGTATGACAGGCAGTGGGAAATACAGGAAGCAACAGCTCACAAAAGTTTCTCTGAACTCAAAGACTTTAGTCTATCAGGAGATCAAGATTAGGCAACCAGTAATTACTTATACTGGAGCATAATATGCATAAGATTTGGCCAGCTATTTGCACAATGGTATGTTAGAATCTATATATACTATATAGAATTGATACAGAATCTATTTACTATATAAAAGTAAATGAAGTAAAAAAGAGTTCCTCCTCCTTTTTTCACATTCATTTCATTTTTCCAACATCTAGTTGCTTGGTTCCTGTACTGGATCATCTACATAAGGCCTGCTGAAAGTAAAACGGAATGCTATTAATGACTGCTAGATAAGGGACTGCTCTGGTCAAACCAGGATGCACAGTCATAAGAAATATAAATAGCTCTTCCAAGTTCTCCTTATTCCCTAAAAATAATATTCTGAAGAAACTGATCATCAAAACATGTAAGAGAAGAGATTTATGATCTGAGGTAGAAAGATGAAATACACATTGCCTTGATTTTCCTTAGACTTCGGGGTCTCTGTAGTATCTGAATAATGACTTCCATAATCACGTTTAAATATACAGAAAAGGGAAAAAGATCCTTCCCTGAATGCTCTGCTTATTATAGGATAGTGAGTTTATATTTTTTTAACTTGCTGGTCTTTGGATCTCTGCCAGATGCCAGGTACAATGTGGCACAACAAATTAAAGCACAGCGCTATGAAGCTAACTGCAGGCACTGCAGCAAAAGTTCAATCCCCAGCCAGGGAGCTGACCCACATAGCACAGCAGACCTCTCCTGTCTCACCCGCTGTTCCCCACAGCAGTGTATTTCAGTACATCTGCCTGTTCTCTCCACTCTGTCTCTGGCAAATCCTCTCTCTCTCACACACACACCTCTAGCCTATACCCCAGTTCTTATATGCATAAATAAATAAATCTTTTTAAAAATCAGGTACAAAGGTCCCAAATCAAGAAGGTTCAAACGAAACTGTAACAGTAGTCTACACATGCCAACAGTCCTGCCTGTGGATTCCTAGGTAGCAAGAAACTGGCTGCCATATTGGCACCTCTACAGTTCTCAAAAGTACTTAATATTTTTTGAAATATTTAAAAGGGAAAAAGACAGGACCTCCAGGAAGGGATTAGTAAGAAGAAAGATGTCTGGTACAAAAGGTTGATTCTATTATGTAGCAGGAAAAATTTAGAATATGTAACTCCATACAGAAAAATAGCAGATTGCTGGTTCCCAGGGACTGAGGGGAGTGGAGAATAGGAAGTAATTTCTGAATGGATAATGGGGTTTATTTATGAAGTGATGAGTGTTTTGGAACTATACAGAAGTGGCAGTTGTGCAATACTGTGAATGTGTTAAGTGCCACTGAACTCTTCACTTTAATGGTTATTTGAATGTTAAATGAATTTCAAGTGTGAACAGAAAAAGACTCCAAGTGGAGTGCCTTCTCAGTAGGTCTGGGTGTCTTAACCCCACTCCTAAGACATGCACATTGGCCTGCACATACCTGGAAGGCAAGGCTGATCTTGCTGAGATACCAAGTTTGGTTCTGTAGATGTAGGTGTCTCCTCAGAAGCATACTTTAAAAGCTCCTTCCCAAGATATGTTACCTGCATGTAATTAAGAACAGAATTTAAAAATCATCCATTCTACAAGATGCAAATACACTGCTCTCTTAGAAATTGTAACTTCTATAAAATATTGTTATATTATATATGAACTGGTAACTATAGCTCATGGCTAACTCTGGCCTGCCACCTTTCTTTTATTAGAACATATTGGCATCCATTTGCTGACTTAATCTCTGGCTACCTTTGTTCCACAACAGAGTGGAGTAGTTGTGATAAAACCATCTGCATGTGAAGTCTGAAATATGTTATCTGGCCCTTATAGAAAAAATTTGCTGAGCTTACAAGGTGTCATTAATTCTCTCACCTTTTTGCTTGCTCAGTAACCATTAATCCAGCACCTGATGTGTTATAACCTTAAAAAATTAAACTTGCATTAATTAAAACATTAAAGAAATAAGCTACTTAGATTAATAGCACCTCAGATCTATGCATCCTAATTTTGGTTCATGAATTTAGATGTTATTTATTTCAGAAGGTTTGAGCTTGGAAACATCTATCTATGAATGAGCTAATGCTGAGTCAAACTTGTGACTGTCCCTTCCACAGCCTCCTGCAAGAAATGTTCTAGGTTTAAAGGTCTTTGGGTCCTCTATTCTTGTTCTAGGGCATTCTGAAAATATACTCCCCAGAAGTTAGGCCCAATGTAGCTAAACCATCAAGTCTCAATTTGATCATTTCTTCCTCCAGGATGCCTTCTGTAATGAAGTTTGGAGTTCTAACACTCCTCTAGGCTCCCATCATTTTTGTGCTCATATTTCTGTCACAGCACTTATCCCATTTAAGTGAAATTGTGCTAATGTGTCTGATTCCATAAAACTACAAACTCACTGAAGACAGAAGCTGTGTCGTATTTGTTTTTATGTCCTCAACACTCTACAATGCAGGAAAAGAAACTGAAACTCCCAGGTCTTAAGTAAGATTCTTAAATCCTCTGAGCCTCAATTTGTACATCTGTAAAATGAGCAATTAAAACTGATTAGGTTGTTTTGAGGATTAAAAGAGATAATGTATAAACAGTTTGGCACAATGGCCAGAACATGCTGAATGTGCAGTGAATGTTTGTTAAACTGAACAGATGAGGACGGTCTAGGGATACCAAAGGTGCTGGTACTCTTTGGACCCCAATGCCATAGCCAATTAACGTCTGATTATGGAGATGGAACAGACCTGGCCTACCCAGTGTGCAAACCTCTCCTCACTGCCATGAAAGGAGAGGTAATTCCCCTAAATGACATCTGTCAATCTCCAACCAACAATTAGAAACAATGAATTTTGTTCATGTTATACCCTCACAGTATCCAATATACTTTAAGCATTCAGCAATGTGCAGGCTCAGTATGGTTTCACATATATCTCAATTTAAAGTATATTCTTATCAGAGCTGAAAATGTAAGGTGGGAAAATTACACCTTTTAGTAAATTTAGAGGTTATAAGCTGACCAGTAGAGTCTAAACGTACCATTGATACAAAGAACACAGCTTTAGGAAAATCCAGAGTCAAAAATCTATTTTTCAAACTGGAGATATAATAAGGGTAATACTGAATAGACATCAAGTAAACAGGCATTAGACTACTTCAGGAAGTCAAATTCCTTTTTCATGTCTTCAGTAAAATCACTTGTTGATAGTGACTAATGGGCACCTATTCTGGATGATCAAATGACTGTTTTGATTCCAACTCAAGTTTTAAGAAGTTTTAACAAATATAGCTATACTGAAAGGAAGAAAGAGATCAGGATAACTGTTTTACCTCAGGGGAATAAATTCCCCTGAAGTACTAGACTACTTCAGGAATAGACACATTTCATGTGTCTATTCACCAGTTGGCTAAAGCATTAAATAGTTATATTCGAATATGGTACTAACTGAATACTTACTGGATCAGACTGGATAAATCTTACTGGATACAAATCTAGTTCAAAGCCTGCTCTGACAGAGCAGGTACAGACAGACATAGACTAGGTTTTAGAGTCTTAGACTATATAGTTACTTTGCTATTCGAAACTCATTTTTTTTTTTTTAAAGATTTTATTTATTTGTACATACAGAACTTGGGTACAGGCCAGAGGCTCAGGGGTGGTGAGAGGCTTCACCAGAGACAGAGTGGGGAGCAGAATAGTCAGATCGATGAAGTACACTGCTGAGGGGAGCAGCGGGCGGGTCAGGAGAGGTCTGCCGCGCCATGTGGTCACCTCCGGGGCAGGCGGGAATCGAACTCATGCGGAAGTGGCTTTAGCTTCTCAGTGCAGTGCTTTAACCCGCTGCGCCACCAGGGAGGGCCCTCGAAACTCATTTTAATGAAGGCAGCTGATGGCATGTTACCCTCTCTAGAATGAGAACAAAACTTAGGGTTTAGGAGTAGGTGTGTTCTGTGAGAATATCTGTATGCTGTTGTGTTCTTCCTGTTCTAACAGGAAGAACTGCAGGAGTACTTGATTCTAAAGTCACGGACACTTAAAGTTCTTCAGGCAAAAGGTCTATTACTTCTCAGAAATCAGTCTCTGTTGATTTCCTTACTATCACACTTGGAAAAGAAGTGGGGTGTGTCTGTGTGAAGTGTACAAATCTGTGGTGTATAGATGATTCAGTCAGCTACTATTCTGGAAATATACTTAATGAGCCAAATGAAATTATCAATTAAATTTATTTTGGCAAGGCTTCTAAAGAAATAAAATATAGGGTCATTATATAACTGCAGTAACAAATGTTTCAATTTTATGTACGAACATGCATCAAAAAAATATATAAAACGTAACATGCCTTTGAATGTTAAATTAATATCCCAGAATTCGCTTTCTTAATGGAGTTCCATTTTATTTGAAAGTATCAAATTCCTTTTTCATGTCTTCAGTAAAATCACTTGTTGATAGTGACTAATGGGGACCTATTCTGGATGATCAAATGACTGTTTTGATTCCAACTCAAGTTTAAGAAGTTTTAACAAATATAGCTATACTGAAAGGAAGAAAGAGATCAGGATAACTGTTTTACCTCAGGGGAAGGAAAAAACAAAGAAACAAAAGAAAATGGTATGTTTTCTTTCAGGCTCGTGGTAATAAAGAACAGATTTTGACTAAGAAAAAAAATATTTCTCAAATAAAATATTTCTCTAGAGTTCAGAAGATGGGAGAGAAAGTAGTATCAAGGTGTGATAATTTCTTTGAAAGAGATGATCCTGGGAAAACAATGATTAAGTTTCATTTTTATGCTCCCAACCTCCTCCCAATCGTCCTCTCCTTCCCTCCCTCAGGCACACTATGTAGCTAGAGGCAACAGAAGAGCAGCAGAGCTTTCATGCTACTTATATCCCCAGGATTTGTGTCTTCTGGATATTTGTAATTTAAAGGGTGCCCACATTCCCAACCATCCCTTCCTGAATAGAAGGTGGGCTCAGGGGGTTTAAACTAAGATATGCTGAGAACTTCATTAACTGACTGAATGAGGCTGTCTGGCTGTCCAAATGAACAATTTCACTCCCTTTTATACTCAATCTTTCCATATCTTGAATTCTTAATCATGGTGGTGGGAGGAATAATTTTTTAAGTGTGTAAGGCAAAAAAAGGGAACCATAGAGGTGAATTTACATGGGGAAATTCATACAGTAAACTAGCCAGATGGGAAGTATGTCTGCAAAGGAGATCTGAGTCACTGCTCAGAGTGGCAGTCCATTTTTCATCTGCTTACAGCCAGCCAGTCTTGATCAGTCACAAAAGCACACTTTCTCAAAAATCCTATTATTCTCATACTACAATTATATAACAGGAAGGCAATTTTTTCCTATGGAAGTAGGCAGATTTTTGCTAAACAAGAATGAGATTTTGCCAATTCATAAAGGCAGTATCTAAATGATACCATGAGGGCCCTCCCTGGTAGCACAAGGGGTTAAGCGCAGCTCTATGAAGCTGCCATAACCACTGCAGCGCAAGTTCCATCCCCGGCCAGGGAGGTGACCTACAGGGCACAGCAGACCTCTCCTGTCTCATCCACCTCAGCAGTATATTTTGGTCAATCTACCTGCTCCTTTACCTACTCTGTCTCTGGTGAATCCTCTCACCTGCTGCGTCTCTGGCCTACACCCCAGCTCTTGTATATATAAATAAATAAAGCTTTAGATATAAATAAATGTTTAAAAATAAATAAATGATGTTGTATATATACCCAAGTTCAAGGTAACCTGTTTCCCATGAAATGAATGGGATTCCCTGTGTCATAATTGTAAATAGAGAAAATAGTATGTAGGAAATCAGAAATTCAGGTTCTAGACCTGGCTCTAGCACTTACTTGCCTTGAGGACAAGCAGGTCACTTAATCTCTAGCAACTCTATTTTTATAGTCATAAATGGAGCTAATAGCTGACTTTACTGCCTAGAGTTGTGTGATACAACAGATGTGAAAGCACTGTTGCAAATCACAGAGTGCCATGGATCTCAGTGTCTCCAAGCTGGACCTGCCCTTATAGACCATTTCACACTACCCCTTATTTCATACAGAAGGTAATAGGTTTTAAAAAGTTAAATGATTTTGTTTCAGGGCAGGGAGAGAGGGGCACCCCTGAACCCCCAAGCCTGCCTGCTCTAAATAGGTCCAGCCATCCGCCGCATCAAGACAAGACATATAAGACCTTTAATGGAAAGGAACTTTAATACAATGAGTGTGCAGTACAGAAAAGACAAAGAATATAGTTTCTAAATCAAACACCCAAAGTTACCCATTCCCTTGTGGGTAAAGTTCACCCAAAAGGGATGGCCCCAAAGCAAGGCCTGAAGGCCCGCCACAAGACTAAAGCACCTTCTAGAAGGGACTCAAAGAAAAGGGTCAGAAATGGCCAGACAAGTTTGGGAGGAAAAGAACAAAATCAAAATCAAGATAAATGCTGCCATAGTGAACCTCCCCCTGGGTCTCCACCCACATCTGTTTCTACCAGTCCAGGGCCAAGAAGCAAACGCAGTTTCTTCCCATGTCTTTCTGCTTCCTGTGTCTCCCTCAGGTCTCCTTCTGGCTCTCCAGCCTGCTTCCTTCCTCCTCATTCTCCTCTCCAGATTCCTCTCCTCTCTGCTCAGCTCTACCCTCCTTGGTGGGGCAGGGAACCTGGAACCTCCCCTTTTCCTGGGTCCACCCTGTCACAATTTGACTTAGATCAATTATTCTCACTCTAAACTATACATCAGAATTATGCCACCTGGTCTTCAACCCAGACTTTTATATAAGAAGCTATGGGGCTGAAGTTCACTAGGCAGGAGTAGTCTTTTGAAGTACCCCATGTAATTCTAATGTATAACCAGGATTGAAAACCTCTGTCCAGATGATATGACTTATCAAGTATGGGGCCAGGAAAACTAGCAAGAACTAGGCAGGCCTCCTATCCAGAGGTTACTCTGACACACCAGATGATGCCTAGCAACTAGAAATGCAGCATCAGAAAGAGTTAGTGAGGCACAGTAGGAGTGAGCATCAAGATTCCCTCAGCAGAGCTGCATAGCGGGCCAGCTGCTTGGGTAGGAGGCATGAGTCATTTTTGTGTCTACTGGTTGTCACTCTGTCTTATATAGGGCAAGTTCTAGTTTTCTGGCATTTCTTGCATGACAACCAAGCTTTCCTGACCCCACAACCCCACTACCATTCTCAAAAGCAGTCAGTGGAAATACTCACATTTACCAATGTAGCAACAACATCCTCTCATCAACAGGTAACTGCGAATTCAGAAGCAACCCCAAGATAAGAGGAAGTAGAGATTTTTGTGGTAAAATTTAAAAGCTTTTAAATACTTGCTGGGCTAGTGTTTTCTCAGTATGGGGTATGTACTAGATGTACCAGAGTTCCTATAGTAATTTTTAATATGTTTTTGCTTTTAGCATAATTTTAAAAAGCCTAAGCCTATGTAGATAAGCTGCATGACTATCTTATCTTCAATAACTGTCCTAATTTTAGTCCCCCCACTTGCAATTGCCTTCCCTATCACACAGGTGCTAAACAGTATGACCCTAAATGAAAGGCTGATGAGAAGAGATCAGAGGCAATGTGACATGTAAATAAGGCATAAACCAAGAGTGAATATCAAATGATGTCAACTATTCAAATGCAGTAGCTGCAATGGAGAAAAGGAGTGAGATAATGGAGTCATCACCGGGCACACTATAGCACGGGTATGCCCAAACACCACCAGTTACAGAAATCAGTGCTGCACTAATGCCCTAAGCATAGGTTTAGTTTCAGCAAAATGATATAATGTATCATAACCTTAAGAAACATGGTAATAAAAAGGATTTCCAGGGGCAAAATGTTAATTATTAATATGCAAATGATTTTAAAGTCCATGGAAAGCATTGGGCAATTGAAAACATACGGTTTGATGATGCCAGTGGTGAGGGAGAAGAATCTTTAGGGGGGGAAAAAAGGGTTTTATAGTTAAAGCAGAGAAAGCCCAAAATGTGCCAATGTAAGTGAAAGAACTTAAACACAGTTCTGTATGCACCTGCCACAGAGATCTAAGAGATCAGAAAGTAGCTTGGGGACAAAGACCAAGAGCAGGAGCTAGGAGGAGAAAGGTTGGGAAGAATTGAATATAAAAAAAAGAGAGAAGCTGAATCTCCTATTACTGGTGCACTGAAGCTTACTATGATGGCCACTAGTGGTTGAAAGTATCTGCTTTCTGTGAAACAGACAAGTCTTATGAGCACACTGTCTTGGGGGAGACATGGCCATCTGATCATTGGACCTCAAGGATGTCAGTCATTTACAGTCTTCAAATTAGTGGTTAAGCTCAGAAGACAAAACTAAGGAGGAGGCTAAGTCTGGGACATGTAAATGAAAAGAAATATTTCTTTCGTGGAGCTAGTAATTCACAGATAAACTATGTTCAATTATAGAAGTCTAGCATAACTTCTGTGGGCCTTGGGCCCCATGCTCATTCCTTTTGTTTTTAGGGAAAGATTTGCAGTATACTGATAACATATTAACTAAATTATCACTGCATCAGTGAGAAACAGGAAGGGGAGATTCAGTCAGCTGTGCAAACCTGCCACGGAGGAATTCTGGCAAATAGAAATTGTGAGAATGTATGTACAATATCATAGAAGGGGCACATGAAGACAAGATTTAATTTTGGAGAATTTCCAGAGCTTTAAAAAATAAATGGTGTTATGATAAAAAAAAATACATACTTTCCATTTCAATATAAATTAAAGGTAAACTTAAAAATGGCTCACCTTACTCCAAGCATAGTTCCAGGTCACACAACGATTGCCTCCTAGGAGACCCTTGAGCCAGGTGACGGGATTTTGATATATCTGACCATTTTCTACCTTAATTTTGCCATTCAATAAAATACTGGCTTTGTGGGTAGTTCCCTGAAGCAAAAAATAAAACAGAAATTAAGGTTAAAAGATAGCTGAAATACATGAACTCTGCTTTTCCCTTTATAACATAAGCAACAGGGACCAGTTCTAACACCCAACACAACCAAACAGATAAAATATTCAAAACAATAGTTTGTAAAATTCTAAACAGACAGAAAATTATGTTGTTTCCTAAGTAATGAAAAATTAATGAAGTGAGTCCTACAACTGTCCCCAGCTCTTTGCTTGAGAGTGTTTCCAGGTCATGATGCAGGAAGAGAAATTTTAGAGAGAGCCCATGGTCTCCCTGAATTGATAAAAAAGTGCTGGAAGTCTAGAGAGGTGGCTAGGATTTGCAGTAAAGAGTACTAAAGAAATACAAAGAGGGAGAATTCTATAGGCCTTTTAGGGGGTCCTCTTAAGCAGTACTAATTGATTATGTGTATGAGGAAATTACCCAAAGTTAGTCACCTGAAATGACTAGCACTTATAGTAGAAACAGTATAACTTCCTATTAGTAAGACTAGAAAAAATATACTCAAAGATGATGAGGGATTGGGGAATCCACAGAAGAGTCTCACCTCAGTGGGAAATGAGTAGGCCTACCCTGGCCATTACTGTCAACCTGCATAATAAAAATTAGAACAAAACCCAAAGAAATCAAATTACTTCCAAGTAACTTAGCTGTATTCTGCACCAAATCTCCAAAATACTTACAAGAACACAAAACTAGCCAGTATTCACTAAAGTAAATTTTACAATACCTCGACAGAAATAGGAAAATACAACCTGAACAAAGGAAGAAAGCAATCAATTGAAAAATGAGAGCTGACGAAGATTAGAATTAGCAAATAAGAACATTAAGTAGTTACTATAACCATACTTCTTATGTTCAAAAGTTAGGTGAAGATAGGGGAAGGGAAAAAAAAAAACTATTATCAAACTTCTAGAGATGAAAATTACAATGTATGAGGTAAAAAATACACTGGATGAGGTTAACAACAAATTTGACACTGCAAACAAAAAGAGTAGTGAATTCAAAGACACAACAATGGAAACTACACAGAAAGGAAACACTGAGAAAGGAGAATTTAAAAACATTAACAAATCATTAGTGAGTTGTGAGATGTCTTCAGGCAACCAAATATGTAGTATGTAAGTGGAGTTTTTAGAAAAGGAGGGGAGGAGGAAAATATTTGAAAAAATAATGGTTGAAATTTTTCCAAATTGGAGGAAACCCAGAGTTTCAAAAAACTGAGAAAATACTAAGCATAGGACACATGAAAAAAAAATCATACCATAGCTTATCAGAATCAAATTTGCTTAAAATCAGAGATACAGAAAAAACATCTTTAAAACAGCCAGAGGGGAAACCGACTTACTGCTTAGCAAGTAACAAAGTTAAGAACAAAAGCTTATTTCCTGTTGGAAACAATCAAAGATGAAGACAGCAAAGCAGTAATTATAAAGTATTAAAAGAATTTCCAACCTGGGAATCTACACCTAGCAAGTATATCTTTCAAAAATGAAGGTATAATAAACTTTTTCATACAAGCAAAAAGATGAAAAGGATTCATTATCAGCAGACCTCCAATACAGTAAATGTTAGGTAGTCCAAATATACGAAATCCTCCAAATGGAAGGAAAATGAATACAAATGAAAATCAGGATCTACACGTAGGAAACAAAGTAACAGAAATAGTAACTGCATGGAGGAGTTATCTTTCCTTATTATGCACACCTCTTTAAATGAAACTGCTTAAACAAAAATAATTACATTGCATGGAATTTACAACATTATGTAAAAATAAAATACAGGCTAACACAAAGCATGGAAAATGGAAATGTATGTTTTTAGATTCTTATAGTATCATGAAATGGTATATTCTCACTTAAAGGTAGACTGTGAGAAGTTAAAAATACATAGTATAGGGGCCCTCCCTGGTGGCGCAGCAGGTTAAAGCACAGCACTAAGAAGCTAAAGCCACTTCAGAATAAGTTCGATTCCTGCCTGCCCAGGAGGTGATACACATGGCTCGGCAGACCCACCTGCTGCTCCCCTCAGCAGTGTACTTCGTTGATCTGCCTGTTCTGCTCCCCACTCTGTCTCTGGTGAAGCCTCTCACCACCCCTGAGCCTCTGGCCTGTACCCCAGCTCTGTATGCACAAATAAATAAATTTTTTAAAATATATATTTATTTATTTATTTTTGCTTGGCAACACGTGCGGTTTATTCTGTTACAATCACAGCTGAGGCGTCTCGTGAGTATGTGTGTGTGTGTGTATATATATACATATATATATGTGTGTGTGTATATATATACATATATATGTGTATAAACTCTAAAGCTATAGCTAAAATAAAAAGAGCTATAACTGATAAACCAACATAAGAGATCAAGCAGAAAAAAATGAAGAAGTACGAGAAACAGAAAACAAATATTACATGGTAGATTTTAACCAAACTATGTCAGGAAACACTATATGGAAATATTTTAGAACCGATGTCTGGCATTATACTGTAAAGACCACTCCTAAGTGAACACTACAAAAATTTGCTTTTTTAAGTCCTGAAAATGGTCATAAGAGTATTTGACAAATGAAGCAGCAGCTATTCAACAAAATGTATGAAAATTAGGGTTAAAAGGGGCAAGAATTTGTGGTATTTGAAGCAAGATAATTACCTTCCTCTAGTCCCTGCTGAGTGAAATGGGGAGCCCACTTCAGACTGATGCTGTCAAAACCACAGGATTTCCTCTCCCTAAAGCTCTCAGTCAGGGGGGGGTATCTTCCTGAGGGGAAAGGACAACTGCATTTCTGCTCTCAGCTACGTTGTGGGTGAGTGCAGCGGAGAGGTGGGGCTGCCTTCAGCCTAGCCCACACTGGTGCCACAAAGGTGCACCTCTTGGAAAGGCATCACTGAAACTACAGGACTTCAGTACTCTGGCTTGTAAGGTGGTAGTGTCATGTCGTGAGAGGGAAAGCAAAGCTACTGTTCCCTCTCCACAAAATGCTCAGCTCCAAAGGTGACATTTACATGCCCATCCTCAGCTCCTGAACCAAGCAGAGAATTCTGCCTGATCTAGGAAGTAAACCTTAAAACAGATAGGAAATGACCTCATTTGCAACAGAACACAGAGAACTTCAAGTTCAAAGGCACTCTGAACAACAGCAAAGTTGTGATGAAAGGCCAATGAGAGTAAACTGGTACATTTACTTGAGATACAGGTTAAACTGTAGGTTGGCTCGTTTTCAAGAAAGAACTGTGAAGAGAGAAGAACTTTGCTAGGGTTAAAATAAGCTTCAATTACTAACCTAGGGAACTATTCCACAAAAGAAGCAAATATTTGAATGGATTAATCTGTAGAGCAATTTATGTTCCCAAAACTTTGGACCAAAGACAACTCCAGTGTATTACTTTTGTATTATTCTTAAATCCTTCAATCTGCAATATAATTAATTCAATTCTGATCTGATAGCCTCAAGGGTCTCATGACTAAAATGCATAAGGCAATTCTAGAAGCTAAGATATAATGGTCGTACTCCTCCATTCAAGAAGCCCAGTCTAGCCTATTCCCTAATCACTTATAAAATTTACTAGTTTTAGTGAGAGAGAGAGACAGTAGAATACCTGTGCTTTGAATTCCAGAACATTATTTCCTGGATTAATTCTTCCTAGTATTATCAGATCCTTTATCTGCATACGTTTCTTTTTGGGTACTGTGCTATAGCTCAAAGATTTGTTTACAGCATATTGATGGCCAGACTCTGAGGAGCAGCAGTTCTGGCTGTCATTTGTATGTGGAACAGCAACAGCTGACTTTTTAGAATGTGGTTTGAGTGGATGCTCAGTATCGCGAGGTAAGACAGCAATCATTTGATGTGCCAAGCGTTCTGATGTCCCCCTTGATAGTTGCTGGGAAGTTGTTTTCCTATTCATTCTTTTAGGGCCACAGTTGGAAAAAGCCTGATTACAAATAACAGTTGGTGAATGGTCATTTAGGGCAAGTAGGCTTGTGGTTTCTGAATTATTTAAAGTGCCGGTTACTGATGAAAGACTACAGGATTCATGCTCTTTGGCTGTAGTTTCTGTAATTTTGTTTTGTGAATATTCTGCTTGAGCAGTAAAATCAACAGGTTGGGATGATAATTTAATCTTTTTAGATAATTTGATCTTTTTAGTACCATCTGACTGTCTGGATCTTGATAATCCACCCAAGGTACAGTTACTGACATCTTGTTTAGAATTTAACTCGTTTCCAGAAAAGTCTGTCCTCACCGTTTCCACATTTATACGAGTGCTGGTATTCTGGCTGCCATTCTTTATTTCCAGAGACAACTGTGTTTCTTGAATGTTTTCATGAACAAGGTTGATGGGAGAAAGTGAACATGATTGAGGCTGCATTGAATTTTCCAGACTAGTAAGCTCTTGAATGGCATTTTCACTCGACATTTCTGAGCTGGATGGCAGCTTCCTCAAATTAAGTCTAGACAGTGATGTAATATTCTTATAGTTTTGAATTTTCAGACTTATTTTTTTCTGATTCTTGGCAACAACTAAAAGACTCTTCTGTCTCATGGCCAGATTAGACAGTTGTTCTCTCAGGACTCCATGCTTAAATGATTCTATGGATACCCTACAGAGATAAACAGAAAGAGGGGGAAAAAAAAACAACAGAAAACCTATGTCACCAGTCACTAGGTTTTAAAGATACTTTGTCTCAATTTAAACATTTTGAAGTACACAGGAGTATGTATGTACAAAGTGTGTCCTTTGAAAAGAAAGTAATTTTTTAAACTTAAGTAGGTTTACCTTTTTGTTTTTTAGGATGTGATGACATATACTGATAGTTACCACATTCATACTCCAATCACTATTCAGTTTAGGGTTGACTCTAAAAGCTTGGATTTTTTTGTGTTGGTATCTATTAGTCCTTTAGTTAAAAGGGTCATATTGATGACAGAGAAACACCAGTCTTTAAATTTGGGAGTCTGCTTACCTGTTGCAATGGAAAAGGTGTGACAGGAAGTAAAATCTGGGAGTACGTTTTACTTAAGTTCCCCTAGCTATGGTGGAATAAGATTGTTTTACGATCAATCATATCTAAAGTAGACCTGAGAAATGTATTCATCAAGTAATCACTATAATTGCACTTGGAACCTGAACTGAGAAACTTTCCAGTACACACAGTCTATCAATATAAGTATTATCCTGTGAGCCTTCCCCAAGCCAAATTTGCCAGGAGTTTGAGAACTAACTATTTATTTATGGTAGCAAATGGCTCAACAGTTCTGCCTTTTCTTATGCCCATCTAGGCAAGTGATCTCCAGAATACTGACGTTTTTATAATTTAAAAATTGAAGGACCCAAAAGTTTTTGTTTCTATATGCATATATCACATTTACTGTTTTAGAAAAATAAAAATGAGAAAAAAAGTAAAAGAGAGGCCCTCCCTGGTGGTGCAGCGGGTTAAAGCACAGCACTGAGAATCTAAAGCCGATTCCGCATGAGTTCGATTCCCGCCTGCCCCGGAGGTGACCACATGGCGTGGCAGACCTCTCCTGACCCGCCCGCTGCTCCCCTCAGCAGTGTACTTCGTAGATCTGCCTGTTCTGCTCCCCACTCTGTCTCTGGTAAAGCCTCTCGCCGCCCCTGAGCCTCTGGCCTGAACCCCAGTTCTGTATGCACAAATAAATAAATCTTTAAAAAAAAAAAAGTAAAAGAGATACAAAGCACTAAATTAGCTACTAAATTTATATCACATATCATGTGACCTCTAGAAAATTTCACTGTATATTCACAAGAGAATGAGAGGGCACAGGGCAAATAATGTCCAGATGTCATCATAAAAATAGTTTTGATTTCACAGGGGACTTGAAACGGCCAAGGATTCCCCCAAGTGTACATGGACCATGTTTTTTTTTAAAGATTTATTTATTTATGCATACAGAACTGGGGCACAGGCCAGAGGTGCAGGGGTGGTGAGAGAAGTCATCAGAGACAGAGTGGGGAGCAGAACAGACAGATCAACGAAGTACACTGCTGAGGGGCGCAGCAGGTGGGTCAGGAGGGGTCTGCTGCATGTGGATCACCTGGGGGTGGGGATAGAACTTGTGGTGAAGTGGCTTTAGCTTCTTAGTGCTGTGCTTTAACCTGCTGCGCCACCGGGGAGGGCCTTAATAGTAGCTATTTTTAAGGGGAAACAATCATCTAGATAATTGTCCCTCTTCTCAAGTTTAGAATTATTAACAACTCCCAGAAGACTGGGAATTAAATTAAGGTGTAAGTAGATTAAGTAGCAAGAAAAATCAGATTAGCAAACAATTAGTATAAAATTCAAGAAGCATGTGAAATGAAAAGTTCAGATAGAAAACAAAATTGCTTTTTATTCACAAGATTTTAAGTATTATAGCAATACTAATAAGGTATATTTTAAACTATTGGCAATAAGAGGAAACTTGCAGCTAGTATTCTCCAAAATTCCTATAGTCTATCTGAAGTTCCTATATGCTCTTTTGCTGTATACAAATAGAAAAATAGAAAAGAATTTGATGCTTTTTCACTAGAGACAAAAACAAAATGGGGATAAAAGGTAACATACTTATAACTAAAAATATAAAGCTCATTTTTAAATAAATTCAGGGAAAAAAATTAAACATTCAGTGCAAGGGGTTAAGTTTCAGCACTACGAAACTATCAGCAACTACTGCAGCATGGGCTGGATCCCCAGCCAGGGAGGTAACCCATATAGCACAGCAGACCTCTCCTTTCTTGCCTACTGCTCCCCTCAGCAGTGTATTTCAGTCAGTCTGCCTGTTCTGTTCCCCACTCTGCCTCTGGTGAATCCTCCCACCACCAGCCCCCACCCCAGCCTACCACAGATCTTATATGCATAAATAAATAAAATAAACGTTTCAAAAAATAAATGCTCAATTGATGCCAAATGATTCTAAGTATATAGGAGATAGACATGTAATTATTAAATATCTCTATGACTTTTGCTCTTATCAATCTGATACTTATTTGCCAACCTCGAAGAAGCCAGAGTATAAGGTGACTTTCTTTATGCCCTAATATATCTTTCTGAGAGGTACAAATGGAGGTTATAGTTTAGATGACCCAACAAAGTTAACACTTGTATTCTTAAGAAACTCTCAACTTAACTATTATAAGCTAATAATGGACAAGTTCTGAAAATTCTTAAACACTATTTTTCTCACTCACCTGTATTTTTTAGCCAGGTCATCTCTCTCTGCCTTCTGTTTAGCAAGTATGCTGTTCACAACTTCCTTTATCTCTAACATCTTTTCAAGGTATTGTTCTAGAAACATAGTAATAAAGTGTCAGTTAACTGAGAGATAGCAAATATCAGATTTGGTCACACAGAACTTAATGCTTATTTACTTATTTGATGCTTATTTTTACTGCTGATTTTTAAAAGCCATTTCCCTGTATCTTCCCCAAAATAAATAGCTAGATATAAAAGTCAAGGTGTATTAAATTATCACCCTATGAAATCACCCTGAGGTGTACAGGTAGGAACACTCCCCAGAAAGAATAGGTCAGCCCAATCCTAGTCCTGCTACTCCACTGAGTAGGCTCCAAACCCAAACAAACCACATCACCTTATTTTCAGCTTCTGTATCTCTGAAATGGGTAGTGAAAGAAGTAAAAAAAAATTCTTTTTTAAAATAAAAAAGGTCTACTTCTCACTATGAAACATTTCTCAAACAATATGAATGTTCATACACAGAATGAAAATGAAAAAGCAATCCCACTCACCCTCCTGTTTCTGATCTACTTTACTCCACAAAGGAAATGGCTGTTAATACTTCAATAGGTGTGAGTATAAAATTCCTTCTTATTTAAATTATTCTACATATTTGTATTATATCATGATATATTACATACTTTAAACTAAAATCAGGTTATCAGTAATTGTTCTTTACTCTTAACACTTAGGGCCATATAATATCTAAGGTCACTTTATAGATCTTATAAATTTCTTTATAATAACTACTAATTCATAAACTGTTTCTGCTTTCACTAGGTTTCTAAGTAAAGGTTTCATGGCCTCACCACACCACAAATCTATATGTAAATGTCATTTATGTGCATTTGTAAATTCACTAACAGGAAGTTGAAAGGTTTAGATGAATACATCTAATTTTTATTTTTTTAAAACAATTATATTTACTTAGAAGCATTCAGAATGCTGATAAAACAGCTTCAACATTTTTTTTCGCAATTACAGAGTGATGTTCAGTTAACAGAATAATAATTATTTCATATAAGTTGCACCAGAGACAACTGAAGATGAAAAAGAACCATCTCCATATTGAATTAATTTGTGCTGCGTACCAACAAGAACCTGCTTTAAATTTCCACACCAATTTAAAATCCCCATACTGTATCAGACAAGGTTAATGTCACTGCCACACATTCTCTTCTGATTTGTTTTTAAGAGTTAGGTGAGCTAGATGAAGCTGAGGAGCCAAAGAGTAATATAATCTCATCTCAAGCTACTATAATTTTTTAAACTACTGTAATTTTTTAAAAGATGAATTTATTTATGCAAACAAGAACTGGAGAAATAGGTCAGAGGTGTGAGGGAGATGAGAGGATTCACCAGAGGCAGAGTGGGGAGCAGAACAGGCAGATGTAACTGAAGTACACTGCAGAGGGGAGGAGCTGGAGAGACAGGAGAGGTCTGCAATGCCATGTGGGTCAGCTCTCTGGCTGGCTAGGTATTGAACTCATGTTGTAGTGGCTGCAGAGAGCTTGATAGCTGTCTTTAATCCCTGCATCACCAGGGAGGTCCTGACTATAATTTTTTCTAATTAAAAATTTTAAAATTTTAATTAAAAATTTTTACTTTTATACGTCTCCATGTTGAAATGCTTCACTCACCTTTCCCCAAACCACCCTTGCCAAGACCTATCCTCTTTCTTCCTTTATCTCCTGCCCCGCCCCCCCCAGTCACTATCTTATGCTTTTTTGTCACTCTTCATCTAAACATATCACTAGTAGTAGTTTATCTCTGATCATGTTTATAAATTCTAAGTATTTATACTACGCTCTGTCTAGAAATATCTTTACAGTTATACAAGCTACTGGGTTTGCATCACTAATTCCTAGTATCATTCCTTGCAATTTAAATACCCTAGCCCCTTTTTCAGACACTGTGACTTTTAGAATAAACATACACCCTAAAGAGAAGATGAATTAAGAATGACTTTGAATGTCTAAAATAATCAAACCTGAGTATGTCCTTATTTACCTGCATCTTCAGGGGTTCTTATTTCAAACTGTAGTAATTTTTCTTGCTTTTCTTCTACATCTTGCAGAATGGCACTGATGGTCTGATGCTATCAGATAAAAATATTAAAAGCTTCACTACAAGAAGGTATATATTTCCCTTTGATATACCACTGACAAATATACAGTGTAAGGGCTAAAGTAAGAGTTGCTAATTTTTATGTTCAAATGTACTCATGTTTTATTTAATTTTAACTGTGTAAATATTGCATTTTTGGGGAAAAAAGTAAACTTAAATATCAATATGTTATGATTTCTGTAGACCTAATTCTTGTAAAATAGAATATAAGAGCAGCAACCATATAAAGAATCATTTTTCAGAACTGTCTTCTTATATGTGTAGGACAAAAAATAACTCAGTACATAATATTTAATGAATTATATCTACACAACACATTTATGTTAAGACTCTATGACCTGGCACACTATAAAACTTAAATTGACAAAACTGAGACAAAATACTGTCTCAAAACTCACAGAAAGTATTTAAAACCATTTCTTATGTCATTGTGTTATTTGTCCTGTCCAGAATGCCTTCAATGTACATTGTACAGATTCCTTTTTTGTATGAGGGATGGATTCATGGAGTAACCCCTATAACCAGCTGCCTGGATGTGAATTCTGGCTTCACCTCTTCCTGATTACCCCAGCAAATTACTTATCCCTTCTTTCCCTGATTTGAGTAAAATATTTAAAATTTTAAACAATTACTTGAGTAATATATTTTAAATATATTTAAACTAGTGTCAACAAGTAAAAGCTCAAAAAATATTGCTTAGTATTATTATAAAACCCATCTCATACATAAAACCGCTACTGATCTAGTACATTCTGATTTCTCCTTTCTCAGAGTTACTTAAGAATGTCAGTGCAAAAAAAAAAAGAATGTCAGTGCACATTAGCCAAAACAAAGACACACCCTATTGACTGGGAGAAAATTTTTTGCACTCTATACAACTCATAAGGGACTGATCACAAAAAAATCTGACAAGAACTCACATGACTCAACAAAAACAAAGTAAACAAAAAATAAATGCTGTTGTGAGGATGTGGAGAAAAAGGAACTCTCCTTTTTCTGGTGAGAGTGCAAACCAGTCCAACCACTATGGAAAGCTCAAACTACTAAAAATGGAGCTACTAGATGACCCAGCAATTCCACTCCTAGGAACCTACCTAAAAGACACAAAAACACTGATTCAAAAGGACACCAGCACCCCTATGTTTACTGCAGTACTATTTATAACAGATAAAAATGGAAACAATCCAAATGCCCAAAAATTGATGATTGGCTCATAGAGATTTGGTTATATATACACAATGTAGAATACTATTCAGCAATCAAAAAGATAAATTCATGTCATTGGCAGCAACATGGAAAGAACTAGCAGGGATTGTACTCAGTGAAATAAGTCAGAAGGAAAAAAAAATACTGGATGGTTTTACTTATAGGAGGAATATAGGGGAAACAAATAAAATAAGGGATCAGGAAGAAATAATAAATAAAAAATACAAAATTAACAGGCAACTATAAATCAGAGACATTCTGCTGGGGAGAAGGAAGAAGGAGTTCAAAATAGGGAGAAGAGCACAGGGGGCTGTGGTGATGGTGCACGGGTGAACTGGCATTGGAATTATATGAGGACTATACCTGAGAGGCGAAAGCAAACTACAAAAATGAACAATGATATAGAATACATATAAATAAATTATATTTTAAAAATAATGTCACTACAACATAATTTAACATTAGTATGTGTAGTAGATTGAACATTATTTTTTAAGTTAAGATTATGTAGGTAGGAGCATGAATTCTATATCTGTAAACTGTTTCCACATTGCTGGATGCATAATTGTTACTCAAAAAATGACAACTCTGTTGTACTGACTCATGTTATCTACCCTTTAATATATTCTCAATATACATTCATTTTTTAAATGTGTAGGCTCTCAGAGCCTTCTGAAGTACATTGTTCTGAAATTTTACTTTGATGCCCAAAAAAGGATGTGGAAATACATGTAATAAAATCATCCAATTATGTGGAAGCACAGTATCCCTGCTTCCTTCATTAAATGTGTTAAAATTAAAACTACAAAATATAAATATGCAAAACAAACTGAGGCTTATCTCATTATATTAGATGGTAATGGTTATAAAAGTAAAACTAAAGGTGTGAACGGTGTCCGGGCTAAGACTCTATGTACATGTTAGGAAAAAGGAAAACATCTTTTGGTAACAACTTTGCTTTCTGTTTGCCTCATATTGTGGACATACTCAATCTCAATGACAGTGGACCGTATTTTTTATCCTACTCCAGCCCTACCTTCTACCAGGGAGTGTCCAGCATAACCTTCCCTTTAAAATCTCCCTTCTCAATCCTTCACTACAGCTTGTTAAAAAAAAAAAAAGACAGAAAAAAAAAAACAACCCTAAACTAATACTTATCTTTGGAAGAAGAAGCTTTAGATACTTTATATTGTTTACTATAAAGTTTTACTATGACTTTACTCCAAATTTGCTATTTTTACTATGGCCAGTACATCTTTTATAATTTTGTACAAAATAACACAGTGGTTGAGAGCACAGACTCCAGAGTAAGAGCACCTGGAGTTTAATTCTGGTATTGCTACTTACTTAATAGAAATGTAATTATGGATTAAGTTACTTAATCTCTCTTATGGTAGCTTCCACATCTATAAAGAGGGAGATAATGATAATACCAAAACCCACCTAGAACATTTACTATTAAAACTAAGTGAGTTAATATAAAGTATTCAGCGAGCACATCATGCCATGTTATACACTTAGTAAATGCCAACTATTATTATAATGCTGTTATTACTTCTATACCTAATCTACATGGAGATGGACAAGGAAGCTGCTTATGTGTAGCTGTTTATATACAAGAGCAGCACAGAACTAAAATCATCTCATTTCCTTTGTATCTGGTCAAACAATTACCCCCAACTCCCAATTTGGTTTGAAATTTCTAATCTTCAAAAATAATTTATTTGCAAAAGAAATAAACATATTTATATTTCTTATATTTACTCTGAACTTATTTTTAAATTGGTTTCTTAGACTTATAACTCCACTGCATTTTCTGAGTTTTGGAAACTAAAATGTTAGATATTATTCCCGAGGCAAATACAGTACATATCATATGTGTGTGTGTGTGTGTGTGTGTGTGTGTTATGTATTACATACATTTTTATATATGATATACTACATATATAATATATTTATGAATATTATATACTACATATAAATATATATATATTACATGTGATATACTATATATTTTATATATGTGATATACTGTATGTTTTATGTATATATGTATGTGTATGTGTGCATATGTGTGTGTGTGTGTATAAAATATCCATAGTAACAATAGGATGCTTTTCCTGTAATGTTCTCATTTTCACATGAAAATATACCTTAATTTTACTTATGGTCAGTATGGTGGATTGAGCTGATAGATGATACACAAGAATCCCTATCTACTCCAAACACATGGAAATATGGGAGAGAGGTGAGTGAGGAGAAACTGGGGAGAAGGAGCAGAAGGCAGAGGAGAGAGAGCGAGAGACTGAAACCCCCCATACACACTCCCACAGTAGTAGGAATGAGAAAAGAAGGAAATTTCCTGACTCCGAAACTAAGTTAGCAGTGACCTATGAGAGAGATAAGTATTAGGGGCTGGGTTTTTAATCTCCATACAGGGACAGGAGATAAGATTGTAGGTGCACATGAGGAGGGAATTAGAATGAAGTCTCTGCTTAAAATTAATGACCCTGAATAAGTGCTCTTTAGGTTAAATAAGAGTTGGACAAATTTGTCATCTATCTAGGGCTTTGGGTAGACAATTAGAGACCCAAACCAAAGCCATACATGTATATTAGAACTAGTTTTATACAATCTGTGTGGCTCAAGAGCCTAAACTGAGAAATCAGCATACAAACTTGTATGAGGCTTTTTACTCTACTTTTTACATATGTTAATACATCAAAACTTAGGCACACCATAATTCGCACCGTAAGCTATCTTCCATGAAATGAGACTACAATACAACATCATAAACCACAGAAAGAATCATGTTATCATGAAGAATCACAAGATGAATTTAAAATCCTTTCAAACTTTTTTTTTTTTTACAATATCAATACTGTAAGGCAAGAATGAATAAAAACAAATCCACGTCCCTCCCTGGTTGCACAGCAGGCTAAAGCACAGCGCTAAGAAGCTAAAGCCACTTAAGCGTGAGTTCGATCCCTGCCCCAGAGGAGATCCACATGGCGCGGCAGACCTCTCCTGACCCACCCACTGCTCCCCTCAGCAGTGTACTTCGTCAGTCAGCCTGCTCTGCACCCTATTCTGTCTCTGGTGAATCCTCTTACCGCCCCTGCACCTCTGGCTTGTACCTCAGTTCTGTATGCACAAATAAATAAATCTTTAAAAACAAAAGCAAACAAAAAAACAAATCCATATTTAGTGACAAGCTACTGAAACTACAGAAAATAAAAAAGTAAAGGAAAACTCTTAATAGCTGTAAAATTAAAAGACAGATTATCTATGGGAATAATTAGTTTGACTGTTGCATTTTCATTCATTGTAACAGATATCAGGAAATAGTGCAAAACATTACTGAAGTACTGAGGCAAATGCAATTTAGTTTGATTATCTCTTAAAATAATCTAAATTAGTTCATTCATCATAATCTAGATTCAATGACTGACACTTACCCTTCTACAGTGACTACCAAAAGTAGGCAAGAAGTCTAGTCTTGTCTAGACTAATCTAATCTAGTCTAGTCTAAGCTGATCAAAATAATATAACTATAGTAAAAGATATAACTTTACATGAGGGGTTTCACATATAGCAGACACTATTGCTATAAATCATGTGGGATCCAGCTGACTAAGCCTGGTTGACTTTCTCTTCTCTGTCTGATTTTCAGGTTTTTTCTGCATACTATGTATTCTGGACGCTTTCTGGGACTGAGTCAATGAGCACACACTATGACTCTGACGGTATCTGGAGGACAAGTAGTAGTCAAAGAACCCAACCTAGGTATAAAGAAAAGCAGTTAACCTATGGTTTTTGTAGTTAGTGCAGATTGCTGAGAGTTAACCACACAATATAGCTTCTTGGCTCTTTCTATTTGACTATGCCATAGTATTTTCTTATGAAAAAAATATTTTCAACCTACATGTCCTTAAAATGAAAAGAAGGCTACCAATAGCCAATTGTTAGCTAGTCAAAAAATGGCATTTTCTAGGATGAAGACTAAAAGGATTTCAAGTTCACTCACCACAGGATGGCTTTCTCTTGGCTTTTTTTGGTGTGCAAGAGAAGACAGATCAACAGTTTTGCAATCATCACAAAAACACTGCTTATGTCTTTTTGACCGAACAGCAGGAATTTTTTCTTTAAAAATTAGAAAATATAATAAGAGCATATAAAAACAATGCTTCATTTTATCAATTGTAATGGTGACAGAGGTGGAAAGGATAAATTAAGACTACAATTATAATACATTAATGTTCACCAGGATCTCACTATGTATCATCATCATCATCATCATCAATGGACTAATTATGCTGTGACTGAATACTTACCACATGTTGGATATGAAATTCTTACCCTGAATCATCTCATTTAATCTTTATATGAGCCTTGTGAGATACTTTATTATATTCATTTTACAGAAGAAAATGAAGCTTTCTCTGCTGTAGATGATTCCAAAGTCAACTGTGACTATAATTCATTCTTTCTGTAGTTTTCTCTGACCCTCTTCCCATTCTGGACTCCTTTTCTCCATTTAACTATTGTACTTTATACCCTTCAACTCCCTTTGTGGTATCTGACCAAGAAAATATATACATAAGAAGCAATAGTGGGCATAAATACAGCACTTAAAAACTGAGTGCCCACAACTCCAAATACAAGGCTTATCTAATAAGCTGAGTTGATATAAATACATCAGGTTGAAACTTCAGAGGAAAAGAGACGTAGTTGGGGGTCTAAGAAAGACCCTAGTCCCCAGCAACTTACATATGAGAACAGGCAATGAAAAGCAGAACCTTACATCAGCCTTAATCTTGACCTACATGTCCTCCAGCTGTCTACTGATACGTGCCACAATGATTATCCTTAGTTCTGGCCGATACAATTCCTTCTTGGCAAATAAACATTTAGTAAGGATAAAAATCAGCTAAGAGAGAATTATGTGATAGGGGTTCTCTTCCCAAAGGAGCCCTCATAAGAGAGAGGGCAGATATGTTCCTGGTTTTTTTCTCCTATGAGTTAAGGCTCAAGGATGAGGAAAAGGAACAATTCCCTCTCAGCATTTCAGCTGTATTTAACTGGCTAATCTGTAGTTGGTCTCCCATAGACTGGAAGATCCTCATGGGCAAGTGCTTGGTTTGCATAGCAGATCCATAGCAACAAATCTGTTTTTTAAACTAGTGTTCACTAAATGCTTAGTACTTAACAAAAAATTAGTTTTATTTTTTAAATGCAAACTATTGCTAAAAACCGGTTCATATAATTTTTTCCTGACTATATTATTGCTTGAAATTTTCTATTATGTTATAGACATATGTATATTTTACTTAAACTATTCTAGCATTAGAATATTAGACTTTTGAAAACTTGTTATTGATCCAATTTTTGTGTGAAGCATTACAATATTTGAAGTAATGGAATCTTACTTGTATGAGTTTGTGGAAATTTTATCCTTTCTCAGCCCTACTACAAGTAAACTAATTGTTGTGGTTTTAGTTATACTTTGAACTCAGACCCAAGGTTAGGGAGATTAATGTTGGTTTTATGAATAATATGGGTATCATTTCAATGTGTAACTCCATCCAATATGACCAGATGATCTACAAATTAAACCAAGCATGGCAATGCAAATTTCTAAAAACACCTAATGCTTTTCAAGAGTTTAATAAGTACACAAAACATCTATGTCAATTATGAAACTTTATAAGTAATATTTTATATTCTAAGTAGAGGTATACCACCTGTATAAATAGCAAGCAATACTAACATACATACCAGTAACGACAGCATTATTTTCATCTCTATTATCAGTTTCTATAGCACCAAAAGATTTCAGCAACTCTTCCATCTTCACATCATCAGCTTCATCCAAAGCAGTTTTTTGGTTTTGATCTTTTTGATTAGGGTTTGCTCCATGCTGTAGTAGAATCTCAGCTGTCTAGAAAGTATTTTGTTACAGTTATTTTCACAGGTGAGGGGCAAGACATCCTGTCCCACCTAATTAGAAAAGTTAGTTCACTTTAGTTCTCAGTTGGAAATACCTCCGTATTTTTCTATCTAACAAAAGTAATAGAAACTTAATTTGAAGTACATTGTACCTTTAGATGATTGTTTGCAACAGCATCATGTAAAGGCAGAATCCCATCTAGATTTTCACAATTAACATTAGCACCAGCTTTTAGCAACTCTAAAATTATATCATTGGATCCCTCACTAGATGCCTCATGAAGTGGTGTCCAACCTAAAAAGAAAAACCAATACAAGCTGCTGCTTACAAATGAAGTAAGTGCATTCACTACTAAGTTTACAGTAACAGAATTTATACCCTTAATGACTTAAGTGTGTATAGTAAGTATTGAACAGTCAGTAGCATTAAAACCTATGGCCTTAAAATGTAAAGGTTTTTTTTTAAAAAATAAATAAAATTGCTTTCATGAAAAATACTTGCTGATGCAAGTGACAGAAGACTCACAGAACTAAAACACAATGGTGTCGGGATCATGGGACCAATTACTTATTAAGTCATTTTGTTTCACTCATATATTAAGATAGAGTAAAGTCATGTATGACTTTCCTACTTGTACCTTTATATTGTCATATTTCTTTTTCAAATGACATTTGAGTTAATCAACATTTGAGTTTTTCTCCCTGAAATTCTTCATACAAGATTCCTCTGCACTTGAACAAAATGTTAGAAGATAAATTTTAAAGTACAATATAAAATAAAAGTTAAGGGAAGGGAGGGAAAAGGAAAAATATAGGAAGGAAGAAGTGAAGGATAGGGAAATGGGGAAACTTTTTCATTTTCTCTAAAGTTAGTGAATGGGATTAAGACTACAAAAAGGTTGTTAGCTACTATTACCTCCAATTCCTGCACTCCCTCAGAATGTTCCAAATGTATGTTAAAAATTGTTTCAAAGAAGGTTATTTTAGCAATTGGTAGGGACCAGAAGAAATCTTACAATCCAAATAAATATTAATATATTATTAAAAAGATTGTTCAAAGTAAGCAGTTGTACCAGGATCAAAATTAGGGAAAGGGGATAAATTGTGTTCTTCAGTGAGTTCAAATAATAAAGACAATTAAAGTTAAAAGAATGCAAACCTGCATTATCTTTTAGATTCACATCTGCTCCAGATTCTATCAGAACTTTCACCAGAGACAAATTTCCTCTTTTAGCAGCTAAATGAAGTCTGCTCTCCCCTTGGGCATTCCTCTTATTGATTCCAACCTTGTTTACTTCTGTACATTTACCAAACAAAAGTAAGACATTTTTGTTGCCAAATACAGCTTATTATTAAAAAGCTTACACTATACATGGCAAATTCCTTAAAATATCCTCAGTAGGATATACTGAAGCATACATCAATTACTATTTTTTTAAAGATTTATTTATTTTTATACTTATGCGTACAGAAATGGGGTACAAGCCAGAGGTGTAGGGGGTGGTGAGATGATTCACTAGAGATAGAGTGGGGAGCAGAACAGGCAGATCAACAAAGTACATTGCTGAGGGGAACAGAGGGCAGGTCAGGAGAGGTCTGCCACTGCCATCTGGGTCACCTCTGGGATGTGGGGAGGTGGGGGGATTCGAACTCACATTGAAGCCACTGCGGCTTGCTTGCAGTGCTGCATCCTTACCCACTGAGCCACCAGAGAAGGCTCCATACATCAATTACTATTATTAATGCTGTTACTATTATGAAATAAAACTTGAAAAGATTATTTAGCACCAAAGCACATTATTTTAAATTCACTCTAAGAGTTGTTTAGTGACTCTATCCTATGTTTGATTAAAACAAACAAACCTGTTGAGGTCTACATTCATTTCACTCAGTATTCTTTTAGCAATGGGTTTCTTTCCCTGAAGTATAACTGACATATATTAGTTTCAGGTGTACAATGTATTAATTTTTCATATAGTACCAAATGATGACAATTATTATACTTATATCTATCCACATCCAGAATGTTTAAGATTTACTTTTAACAACTTTCAAATATGCAATACAGCATTATTACCTGGAGTCACTGTGTTGTACATCACATTCCCATGACTTACTTACACTTCAAAGTCTGTTCCTTTTCACCTCCTTCACCTATTTCACGCACATGCCTCTTAGAACCTGGTTTGTTGTTGTTGTTATCTATTAGCTTTTTGCTTGTTTTTAGATTCCACAGTGGAATCTGAGACAGAATTTGTCTTTCTCTGTTTGAGTTATTTAACTAAGCAAATGCCTTCAAGGTCCACTTGTGACACAAATGGTAAGATTTCATTCTTTTTTTATAATTGAGTAATATTCATTTATATGTATCAAACTTCTTTATCCATTTATCCACAGATGGACACTTAGGCTGCTTCCGTATTTTGGCTATTGTAAGTAATACTATAATGAACACAGAGGAGGGTACATATATCTTGTAATTTCTCTGGATAAAACCTCCAGAAGTGGAACTATTGGACCATATGGTAACTCTATTTTCAATTTTTTGAGGAACATCCACAGTGGATGCAACAATTTACATAACTAGTTGCTAAGGGGGTTCCTTTTTCCCCATATTATCACTAACTTGTTATTTCTTATCTTTTTGGCAAAAGCTATTCCAACAGATATAAAGTGACTCCCTCATTATGATTTTTTTTTAAAGATTTATTTATTTATTCATACAGAACTGGGGTACAGGCCAGAGATGCGGAGGGTGAGAGGATTCACCAGGGACAGAGTGGGGAGCAGAACAGGCAGATCAACGAAGTACACTGCTGAGGGGAGCAGCGGGCGGGTCAGGAGAGGCCTGCCACGCCATGTGGATCTCCTCCAGGGCAGGCGGGGATCGAACTCATGCGGAAGTGGCTTTGGCTTCTTAGTGCTGTGCTTTAACCCGCTGCGCCACCAGGGAGGGCCATCATTATGATTTTTATTTGTATTTCCATGATGACTAGTGATGTTGAACATCTTAAAATTTTTCTTAAAACAGATTGTGAATTTATAACAAACAAAAACTTTCTATAGCTATTTTCAGATTTAAGGGTATATTTCTGACCACATAATATGCCAAGAACTAATCTTTGGCCTATTGGTTTTTAAATATTTTCTGTCATAAAAAATGCAGATTTTCTCCAAAGATCTTAAAACATATTTTTCTTGTAACACTAATTAGAGTTTAATTTGGAGCTAAAAATAGTAAATTGATTACTTTTGCTCATTTCTTCACATGCTAACATAATAGTTTTTTTTAATACCATATAAGGAAAACAGAAAAGGAAATAATAGAGGACAAAGACTTCAACATATTTGGTGTAACTGGAAAATCACTGATGAGTAAGAGTTAACTAGAGGTGGAGTTAAGCAGCCATGCTTGGCTCACAATTCAAAACATGTGTTTGGATCTCTTGATTTTCTAGCTTCAACTTACATGCTGGCTATCAGCTTAGGCAGCATTGCTGGTGGGACATATCCTTGTCTCCCTCTCTCTTTCCCCTTTCCTTTTTCTGACTCCCCTTGCAAACAGACCTTTTTTCCTCTCATTTTTCACTGTGTTCTTGCTTTTAGGTCTTGTTCTGAGGTCTTAGCTGCATCAGTGAGGACTGACATCCAGCTCACCCTGTTTTCACCTGGGAATATTCTGAACAGTCTGGCACCCAACATGGGGCCAACACACCATGGCTGACCAGCTCAAAGGATCATTCCTTGTGGTGATCCTGTAAACACACTGTGGTCACAGGACACATGGTGGGGTTTTCCTAATTTAGAGGAGCTTGGTTTTACTTCAGTAAAACTGCAAGGCCTCTAGAAGTTTGAAGGAAGAACCATTCCTTGCCTCTTCTAACATCTGGTGAATTATCAGTCTTTCTTGGATTCTGGCCATTCTGCTCCTCTGTCTCCATCTTCACACTGTCTTCTCTCCTGTAGTATGTCTTATATCGCTTCTCTTTTTTCTTTTATTAGGACACGTCTCTGGTTCAAGACCCACCTAGGAACTTAAGATCTCAAGAGCCTGAATTTAATTACATCTGCAAATACTTTTTCTATGTAAGGTAATATTTACTCTTTTTCTTTAAGATAACATTACAGGTTTCAGGGATTAAAACATGTACATTTGCTTTGGGGGTTACTATTCAACCCATTACATAGAAAGTATGTATAGAAGTGTTCGGTTTAGGAAAAGGAGATAATGGGAGAATGTTCACAGAGAATGCTTAGTTCAATATCCTTCCTACTTCTTATTAGACAGTAGGAAAATCACTTTTCAGGATTTAATATTTAACCTGAGGTGGTCTAGCCTATTGTTCACACAGAACTAACTCCAAGGACTGTCAAAGGATAGTTCACTTGCCCATACTGCCAAACACATACAATTTATTAATCTAAGACAGATAAAAGCTAGCTCTATGTCCCTTCAATGTCCTTTATGTTATAAGGGTTCAGAGGAATGTGTCTGACAAATATCACCCCTGCTGCCCCCACTCAGTATCTTGGCTGTCTCTGTTGTTTATCTCTTCTAATATAATAAATTATAATTCAAAGTCAGAAGTATAACGAGAGTATATGTGGAAACTAAAAGATGCTTACGAGTTGCTTGATGGTAAAAACTATCTGATAAACACAACTGAAATAATCTTATAATTTAGCAAATGATCTGAAAGTTTAAAAATGCCCTGATAGGGAGTGAGAGGGGAATAGGATCAAAACAGGGGTGGGAAGAGCACAAAGGACCATGGTGATGGTGCACAGGTGAATCGGTGGGAATTTTCACAGGGACTATAACTGGGATGAGAAAGCACACATTATACAAAAATGAAAAATCATGCCAAAAAAAAAATATATATATATACAAAAAAAAAAATTTAAAAATTCCCTGACATGGGTCCTCCCTGGTGGCGCAGCAGGTTAAAGCACAGCACTGAGAAGCTAAAGCCACTTCAGCATGAGTTCGATTCCCGCCTACCCCGGAGGTGACCACATGGCGCAGCAGATCTCTCCGCTGCTCCCCTCAGCAGTGTACTTCATAGATCTGCCTGTTCTGCTCCCCACTCTGTCTCTGGTGAAGCCTCTCACTGCCCCTGAGCCTCTGGCTTATACCCCAGTTCTGTATGCACAAATAAATAAATCTTTAAAAAAAAAATTCCCTGACATACAGTGGGCTTGACTGTGTAAATTTTTACCCATACAACTATAAAAATACAAACCTCGGTTATAGGTAGTTTTCAAGGAATTTTGTCTCTTTTTGAAACTTTGAGCTTTTTTGTGTCCTTGGATATAAGTAGACATGTGAATTTCTGAATATGTTTTTTCTTTTTCCTCCCCACAATTTTTCCCAGTGCTTTCATCTCCATGGGTACTATCAGTTAATTCCTCATCTGAAAATAAACATTTTGCAATATCAGTGCTGTAGTTCTTCTATTGGCTACATGACTAGAAAAGGATCTAATCATGTAACTGCTCCAAGCATCTATTCCTAGTTACACCACTGTAAGGGAATGGAAGCCATTAAAAAAAAAAAATGTATATAAAAAAAACTTGCCAGATACAATGCTGTTGGGAATACAGTGAATTACTGATATCAACAGAACTAATAATTTCTGCTTTGAAAATGTTAGATTGCCTGATATTAAATGACATACTTAAAAGAAACAAAATTGACAGAAATACTATTTACTAACTTCTGTTCATATCAATTTAGTAACCACCTTTGGTAATAATGGTCTGATTTTCTAAATAAACACTCTCATTTAAATAATCATCAATATCTCCAAAGTATGGCCCAATGTCCTTATTCTTGTCAATTTGGGCATCAGTTGAGTAGAATGCAGTTTTCTATAAAATATAGCCTATGGAAAATATGTAAAAGTGGAGCAGCACTACAAGTACCTGGTTTTTGAGAAATTCCCTTCTCTTCTCTTTGACTACGCTGTGAGATGTTGGTCAATTTTTTATCCAGGCTGTCAGTAAAATGAAAATCTCTATTGTGTGTGGTGTTGTTATCTGGAAGGTCTTGTTCCTCTTTTTCAACTTCAGCTGATTCTGTTACTTGAGAAACAACTGTGGATAATGCCCTAATTGAAGAACTTGTTTTCTGGCCTTTGTCAGTGTCATACCTTTTAGTTTTTTCTTTTTTATTCATCTTCTCCGCAATATGTGTATCTCCTTCATTCATTAAAGGAGTTGGTGCTCTGGGACTAGAACCCTCAGCCCTTGTGAATAGCTCCACATGACTAGTCAACTTTGAAACTTCAGGTGTTGAAAGTATTTTTATTTTTGTACAAGTGAAGGAAGTATGCTCAGGATTGCCATTTGAGTGATCAAAAGAAGTTCCATTCATGTATTGTTCATAATTTGCAACATGTTCTTCAGAAACTATTGTATTATCTGGATCAGAAAAACTAACAGCTTCCTGTTGTGGGAGTTTGGTTAGGCTAGCTGATTTAAACTCATTTTCCTGTGAAAAATGGTCTTCAAAAAGTAAAAGCTGCTGAAAATCCATTTTCTCTTTATTTGTTATATTCTCTTTATGATTATAGTGTTTTTTGTAACCTGTGGAATTTATCACCTTTTTAGATGTTTCAGTTTCCTCAGAGGTACAGCAATCACCATTGTCATCATTAAATTTTTCCTTTATGAAAGATGGGCAAGAGTCTTCCCTCTTACTAAGGCTCTCATCTTTTTGACCTAAATTACTGTTTTCATAAGCTTTATAAGGGTTAACTGGCTTTTGTCCTTTGTGAGTGTGAGGCTGTTGTTCTGTATTAATTAGTGGTAAGTCAATGCCTTTATGTGAAGAGAGTCCTGAGAAAGAAATGGCTTCAGCTTGGTCAATGGATCCTAATTCCAAGAACTTTATTTCTTGACTATCTGACAAATTCAGGCTCTGAGTACATTTCTTTTTGGAAAGTGAACAAACCTCAATATTGTTACCTAACCCATTTTTCAGGTTTAACATAACTGAGCTAGAAGGTGTGCATGATTCTTCTGGAAGGTCATTGAGGGTTTGAAGAATATGCTGCTGATCAGAATATGTTGCTGATGCACTAGAAGAAGAGACAGCTCTATTTTTTCTTGGATTGCTCTGTTGGACTGCATCATCTACTTGAGTCCTTTCGTGTTGTACGTTTCTTCTCCCTTCATCTGTAGATACATTTGTGCTGGGATCTTTGACTTTACGATTGTGCTTTCTGAGTCCTGTTGGGTATTTCTGGGTAAGAGTTGATTGCTTATGTTTGGATTTACCAAGTCTTATATTTCTGGAATCATTTTGGTAATGTTCATATATGTCTTCTTTTCTTATAAATAAACTCTCTCTGCTTCCTTTATCAACTTTAACATGTTCTGGTTTCTGTCTGTTGGAATGTTCATCACAAATAAACTCAATGCAATTTTTAGAACTGAGCTTTGGTTTCTATAGAAACAAAATATAGAGTTAGCTTTAATTTTTTAGATGAAGTTCTACAGTTAATTCATTCTCAACTGTTGATAAATCAAGTTATGATTCCATTGAATTTTACATATAAAACTAACAATAGGGCTTACTGGGGTATAGATTATATATTCCTTGAATATAAATGTGTGCATTTATAAAAGCACATATAAATGTGTGCATATATAAAAGCACATATTTTCTATTTCAGAAAAGTAGATTGATAGAAGGTAAATATAATAGACTCAGATTTTGTATTGTACAAACCTTTTAATTTCTTTTTGTTAGTATCTTCACATTTTTCTTACTAAACAATAAAAAAATTTTAAATGTTTAATCTACCCAATTTTATGAATTAAAAATTAAAAGTGTCCTTGTACTACAGGGATGCTTTAGAAAAACTCCCCTCTGTTATATAGATAGAGCTAGACCTAAGACTTTCTTCCCATGGTTATCTGTGAAAACTGTAAGTAGGACAGCAGAAGGGACTTTAAAAACAAAAAGGAAAGTCCCCAACTTAGTCTGTATGGACCACTAAGATTAAAACAGGGACACTGCTTCCTCTCGATCACCAGCACCAGATGAAGAATAACAGCACCCCATGTAGAATTAGAAGGGATGGACTGATGCCTTTGACTCTTTTACTGTGGTTAGACCAGAGTCAATTTGACATGGTTGATAAACTTCAAGATCACATGAAACAGAGAACGGAAACAGAGAGCACTACACTAGGGTGCCCAGATATGCTACATTTACCCTACTGATCCCCCAAACAAAAGCTCAGAACATTCTGATTCTCATGGGATTATTCCAAAGCATCTTAAATACAAAAGTGAAATCTATTCACTATTCACTATTCATGATGAAAACTAACTGCAATATCCTTCCCTCCAGATGATCTATTTTTAAAGTGGATCCATTCCTTAAAAATGTTTATTGTAAAACATAACTATACCTTGTGCTGGTATGTATCCTCTACTTCTAGTGGATCAGTGCTCTTCTTTTGAGCTGTAAAGAAAAACAGAAAATTGAAGAAAATAGCCTTGTCTGGTGAGAACTCTCTGCTTCAGAAACCCACAAGTTCTTTACTATAAGAAAAACAAGTGAAACTAAGCAAACTTTTTCTACCAAAAACAGCAAATATTCATACAATTTATAATATTTATTAGAAACCAAGTATCATTAAGAGTGCTGAAAATGTTTCTGAAGGAAAAGCAAAACATATCCAACAAAATGACGCTAAAAGTGGATACAGCACTTTTTAATTCCCCATAGATATGTAACTGTGCAAACTACCTTTGTAAGGTTAAAAATTCACAATTAATTGGATTATCATTTCCAAATATGGCTTCTTTATGACATATTTTTAGAACCTAGTATGATTCTAGTTTGAACCCATTGCCCTCTTAAAAATTAAACATTCACTGAAATGACAAATCTTGAGAATGCGTAAAAAAGAAAAGAGATATTTGAAAAATATAAAATTAAGTTGATAAAGTACTTTAGAGTCTCTTCAGTACCTACTTTAAATAAGTTGGGACTGCATTTGGTCACAAAAGATAAAACCTAGAAACAGTGCCCTGCACATAGAAAATATTCAAAAAATATCTTTTGATAGAAGAAGGTATAAATGGGTAATATGTAATATGGGGGAAAGTACATTTGATATACCTTTTAGTGTGCAACTGCAAATAGTATACTTTATTGAAAGAATGATGAAAGGACACCATTAGATAAATTTTCTCAAAACTTAAGAAGAAAATCAATTTAATTTTATAATTCTACGTTGATTACTTTAAACTTCTACCAAAATGATGAATAGATGTAGCAGGTCAGTTTAATCTTACCTGATTTAAGATGTTTAGGAACATATCTCTCTAGGAGACGCTTCATACATGAATCTTTGGCTTCATCCAAAGCACACTTTCCATTATCACTTCTAAGTAATGGATCAGCTCCATTCAAAAGAAGTAATTCTGCCACCTAGAGGAAGAATGGCCACCCGAGGGTACCCAGACAAAAGGTCTATTGTAAGTAGCTCTAAATAACACTAAATATTTCTTTCACCAATACAGAATTTGGGCTCACCTAGACAGCTCTGCCCCATAACATATAATTAATGTTATATAATTGCCAAGGTTAATTTTTTGATAGACTATGTGTAACAATAATAACAAAAAAGAGAGAAAGGGAGAGGCAGGAAAGGAGAGAGGAATGGTATTAAAGGAAGGAACTGTGCCAATGAAATAGACCTAACAAATATATCAGGATTGGGTCCTGAAGCAGCAAAATTAATTTTAATAGGTTCCAAGAGATAGCTACATTTACCATCTATAACTGTGTGGTTGCTATTCTTCTTTGGCTTATCAGGGAAAAATTGGTAAATTTTTAATTTGTTACCATTTCTCATGTAACCTTTTTCAGAAAGCTACTCCTGAAGGCCTCATCCACTGCTGCTCAAGAGAAAGATGACCTTTCCCTTTTCTCATGTATGTATCTTATAGTAGTACCCTGTATCCTCTACATTATACTGATTTCTTATATATGTCTTTCCTATGCTTTTGTTTTTTGAAGGTTGGATTATTTATTAAATTAATTATCTCACAGAGAAATTTAATGGTTTTTGTTCAAAATGTTTTCCTACATCTAGCCCAGGCCTCCAGTCATCCAATTATTTTTTTCCTGAGTCAGTCCTGGTTACTGTTTCAGCTAAATTTTTTCATAGTCTGGTTCAACAGGGATATATGTATATGTACATAAGTGTGTGTGTGTACATACATATATACATATTTTCTCACAAAAGTACTTATGCTATATATATTCCTCTATAACTTCTTTTACCAACCCCAACAAATGACTTTGGAGATTATTCCGTATCAGTATAGAATGAACCTCTCACTCTCTTTGCAGCTAAGTAGTAGTCCATAATGGGCACATATCACCATTTATTTAACTAGTATTGCACGGATGTGTGTTAGACTTGTTCCCTCTATAAACTCTAGAAATTCAGAAGATTATTCATATTTATATGTCCTTTAACTTTAAAAAGCTGCCTTCTCACCAAACGTAGTAAACAAGTGACTTAAGTTGTTTTTTTTTTTTAAAAAAAGATTTATTTATTTATTTGTACAGAACTGGGGTACACGCCAGAGATGCAGAGGGTGAGAGGATTCACCAGAGACAGAATGGGGCACAGAACAGGCAGATCGACGAAGTACACTGCTGAGCGGAGCAGTGGGCAGGCCAGGAGAGGTCTGCCACGCCATGTGGTCACCTCCGGGGCAGGCGGGGATCGAACTCATGCAGAAGTGGCTTAAGCTTCTTTGTGCTGTGCTTTAACAGGCTGCGCCACCAGGGATGGCGCGACTTAAGTTTTTATCCTTATTTTAAATCTATATTTAGGTTCTGTATTAGTTACCTGTTGCTACTTAACAAGTTATCCACAATTAAATGGCTTAAAAAACTAATAAATAATGATAATCTCATAGTTTCTGTGGGTCAGGAATTGGGAGTGGCACAGATGAGTGGTTCTGTCTTGCAGTCTCTTATGAAGTTATAGCCAAGAGGCTGGCTGAAGACAAAATTATCTGGAAGCTCCACAGATGTTTAAGGATCTGTCTCTAAGATGGCTCACTCATAAAACTGTGGGCCAGAAGCCTTACTTGACGGCCATGTAGACCTCTCCATAAAGCTGCTTAAGTATCCATACTGTATGACATCTGGCTTCTCCCAAAGTTGAGAGACAGCGAGAGACCTTTTAACCAAAGTCTCATAAGTCACAAGATGTCAATTCTGCCATATCCTGTCTTTTATAAGTCATTGAAACTCCAGTCCACACTCAGGTGAAGGGGAATCAAGTTTCACCTTCTGAAGGGGGGAATAAATGTTAAAAGAATTTGTGCACATTTTAAAACCACCATAGGTTCTTAACTAGAACAAGAACAGCAATTGCAGCAAATGACTTGTATCACAACCCCCACTAAAATGTAGTTCATCAAGCAATAGTCCCTTAAAGGAAATATACTTCTACTTAGAGCTTGCTCATGGATTTTCACCCTTAATCACCTATTGAATCAAGGGTTTTCCTCCCTGTAGATCAGTTGATTTCCTCATGTAATAAGCCATAAGACCGAGAATAAAATTCTTTCAGGTAGCTGAGAGGATAATATTTTGACTATTTATCCCTAACAGGACATAAAACAAAATAAAAAGAACTACCAAAAACAAAATCCCTTCATTAATAATTAATAGTCATTAATAGTTAATATTACTAGAGGTAATATTGTAAGCATACTGTAAAATAAAGAAAAAGGATTATAAACTAATCAATTAAAAGAACAAATGTTTAACATAGAGAAATGTAAGTGTTAAGTCCAAGTTAAGTATACATCTGAATATACATGTACATCTATATTAAGTTTGAAACAGAAATCAGTGTGCACTCATGCGTTTTCTTTCCAAAAACATGTATTTCACTAAAATGCCTAAAAGCAATGATACCAAATAGCAATGAATGAACCTAGAGAGTGACCTCTAAATAGATTTTTTCTTGAAGTATCCATTTACCAAAAATATGAGGGGAAAAAAAGTTATACAACATCACATGGTAAAATTAGCCAAATCTAGAATTTACATTGACAAATGATCCAGGTTCTAGAAGACGTGTGTGTGTGTGTGTGTGTGTGTGTGTACAGAGAGATACTTTTATGTGAAAATATACTAGAGATATAACAAACACATGAAATGCATAGACCTTTATATATCACCATTTAAACAAATACCAGCTATAAAAGGACTTTGAGATAACCTTGGAAATTTGAATATGGACTGGGCATTAAATGGTATTAAGAAACTTCATTTTTATTAGGTGAGCTGATACTGTGAGTGTGGAAAAAAATGTCCTTATTCATCAGAGATGCAGATAAAATGATGTGATGTCTAGATTTTCCAAATATACTCCCAACAGCAAATAAAAGTCTACGTTCCCGCCTGTAGAGGTGATTTGACTGTTTTATAGGAACAGCCAATGTAATGAATAGAATATCTAATAAAACTTCATAAGAGAGTTCATTCCAAACACACATGGAACAAATAATCACTAGTCTGAGGGATATTTTTTCAATGTATATATGAAGCTTGATAACATCGTCAACCAACTTCCAACTCAATGTCTCATATACTCATATGTCAAAGAACACTTCATCAAATAAAAGCTCTGTTTAAATGATGATAACTTACATCAACTTCTAACATCACATCCTACTAACAAAGTAAGTCTAATAAAAGGGGAAACAAGGTTAACATGACTTGTTTAAGTGGTGCCTACAAATTCTCAAAGATCACTACATTCTTGCCTAAATGTCTCCTACCATGTGTTTAATAATTTGTTCCTGTTTTGTCTAAGGAACCACACTGAGTACATTGTCTATAGTTCTCAAATTCCAACTTTTCCATATCAAAAAGTTTTATTTAACTTTTTAAAGTGGATTCATATATTTTTCTTTTTTAAAAGATTTTATTTATTTATGCATACAGAAATGGGGTACAGGCCAGAAGTGCAAGGGTGGTGAGAGGATTTACCAGAACAGACTGGGGAGCAGAACAAACAATCAACAAAGTACACTGCAGAGGGAGCAGTGGGCGATACAGGAGAGGTCTGCCTCGCCATGTGAATCACCTCTGGGGTGGGGATCGAACTTGCACTGAAGCAGCCAAGGCTTGACTTAGCTTCAGAGTGCAGTGCTCCAACCCACTGCACCACCAGGAATGGCCCCCAAAAGTTTCATTTTTAACAGTTTTATTGAGATGTCATTTTCAACTCTTTTCCTCCCCTTTCTAATCCTCTGTCTCCAAAGATTTAGACTACTATAGATATTTCAAGTAAATGGAACCATCCTTGCAAGATAAGTTCCTTCAACTTGAGAATATTGAAGAAACTCATTACTTTCCAGGTCCGAGTCCTGCATCAAGTTTTTATAAGTTTCTCTGAAATGTTTGTTCTGAGACATTTAAGACACGAAAGAAATCTAATGACCAGACTTAGGCCATTATTCTGACCATTTTTATCTAAGAGACCTCCTGAGATATGTCTAGATCCTCATCTGATGCTTCCACAATCCCTACTCCATTCTCCAAAATAATACCCCATCCCACTTTGATTCTTAAGGTTTTAGCTCTTAAGTCAGTCCAGAAAAGACTTGGAATCCTTGCTCCTGGACTTGGTGAGGTGTTAGCTGCCCTCAGCTATACAGAAGGAGAAAGAAACAGAAAACAAGACTGTGACTTCATCCCATAATACTGGGGTTCAGCTTTTAATACTCATGACCATCTCTAATATTACTTCTGACTTGTCATTCTCTTCTCATCAATCAGGATATTCCATGGCATGAGGAGCCCTGTGGTTCACAAGAGGGAGGTAAGTAGAAAGGAAGTAGATTCTGGGGCTCAAGGCCTTTGTCTTTGGCTCCTTTTATTGCACTGAGGTAAAAGAGAAGGCTATGATCTGCAAAGCCAGACAGTATACCAGCAGTAGTATGAGGAGAAAATTGCTTAAAGTCAGGTTACCAGCGAGGCAAAGAAAGGTGAAAAGGAAAGAAGAAAAGTAAAGTGTTCAGGGCTCATACTGTCCAGAAGATGCTGCTCCTGGCAAATGAGAGTTACCAATCATGGGAAGAACAAGTTGTTTAGCATGACATTCCTGTTGGTAGCCACTTTAAAAAGGCGGTAAAGAATAGAGAGAGGGTTTACACTTTCATTTATCTAAGCCTGCATTCTTCTGGCCATTTAATTAGGTCCCAGGCAAATGCCACTCCTGTCCAGCCCTCCACAACATTGTGCAAGGACAACCACTTACTAGTATCCAAAAAAGTAAAGAACTGTTCCATACTAGGAAGTGATAAGCCTCACTTGTCCATTCCCATGAAGCCCAACAGCTCTCTCCTGTCTCACTTAAGTGAGGCATAACTAGTATGGCAATGCTAGTAGATGGGAACCCAGAGGTAACTTCCAATACCCAAAATAAATAGCAAGGCATTTTCAGAAGTGCTTTTGTTTTTGTGATGTAGTTCTTAGACCAGAAAAATGTCTAGAATGTATATGGCTTCTGAACCATATGTTCTGGAATTAATAATTTTTATTATTGCAGTTATCATTAACCAACTTATGGAAGTGCAGTATTTTGATATTTTAACCATTGGTATACCTATGTTGGTGTGTATTAATTGATAATTAAATTCTGGAGGTTCTCGTGTCTTATACAAACTCTCATGGTGACACTAACTTCTATAAAGATATCAGCCTCCTGAAAGATTGGGATACCACTGTATAACACTCTATAAGAAAAAAAAGTTATCCTAAAGCTATAAAACATCATAAAAAAAGAATTTTAAAGAAGTGTGATTTTTAAAAAATATCGTGTGTTATCATAGCATGTTCTGTAGTTATTGAAAGGAACCTGTAAAATATTATCTACCATATTAGGCACAACAAATTTACCATACAGTAAAATTTTCTTAGAAATTCTGACCATTGACTTATAGAATGAGCTGAAACTGAGTTTCTATTTCTATCAGTTGGTCCAGCGATTTTTTAGTAGTTTCAGAATGTAGTGTTTGTTCTGCAAACAAAATTATCACAGTACCTTATAATGTCCATTCATCACAGCATCATGTAGGGGCGTGATCTGGTACATTCCTTTGATATTTACATCTGCTCCACCTTTTAGTAGTTCACTTGCAGTCTGATAAAATCCTTTTACACTGGCTTCATGAAGTGCTGTCCAACCTATTATACAAAATGGAAATGGTATCTATTTGTACTTGACATTTTAATAATGTTTGTGCTTGTCCTTAAAATAAGAACTCTAATTCTAAGCTGTTTCTTTAAATACTTTTTTGTTACATGAGATAAGATTATTTTATCATGAAAGCAAACCTATTATTATTTGGTCAATTCAAAAAATCTGAAGGAGAAATCAAATTCTCACAACTCAGTTGTGGAAAAATATGAGAGGAAGTAAAATAATTGATACTCTTCCTGCCCCCTCAATAAAAAGGCTTTAAGGGGGTCATTATTAGCTCATACACAATGTTGGCTGCAAGTTACTTTTCTGTAGAAAAGGATGGGTGTAGTTTTACTTTCAGTTCAAGGTATTTCCATTAAATTAGCAAGGCTGACAGAACTACTCAGAAGTCAGTTCAAAGATCTTTTTTTAATCCTTATTAGCAAAAGCTATCTACATTTATTCAACTAACAAACCACAAACTGCTCCAAGAAAACCAGTCATCTAACATAGGGCCCTCCCTGGTGGCGCACCAGATTAAAGCACTACAATGCTCTCTGCAGCCACTTCAGCTATGTTGGATACCTGGCCAGGGAGCTGATCCACATGCTGCGACAGACCTCTCCTGACCCACCCACTGCTCCCCTCAGCAGTGTACTTTGTTGATCTGCCTGTTCTGCTCTCCACTCTGTCTCTGGTGAGTCCTCTCACCACCCCTGCCCTTCTGGCCTGTGCTCCAGTTCTGTATGTGTAAATAAACAAATCAGAAATCCAGACATCTAATACGTAGTCCTTTTCTTTGATAGCCAGAGAAAATATGTTGATATTTCTTAAATTCCAGTAAATCATGATTGATCTAAGAAAGCCTGGAAGTGGCATGTTAAAAGTGTATTTCACTAACTCTTCATATCTTCTCCATAAACCAAAGTTTCTCAATGTTGGCATTAACATTTAGGGTGGGATACCTCTTGTTCTAAGCATTATAGAACATTTAGCAGTGTGCCTGACCTTAATCCACCAGATGCCAGCAGCACCCTTCCATCCCGGTTATAACTACTAAAAGCATTCCCAGAAACTGCGAAATGTCCCTGGAGATAAAACCACCCAGTTAAGGACAACTTCCATAAAACATTACAGGAGCTTTTTATAGTATTTATTAGAAAGTCTTGAGGGGAAAATGAAGCACACCCAAAAAGGTAAATATACAGTAATTTTTAAAAACTGGAACAATTAATTCTAGCCAAAGTACAAAGTATGAAAAATGAGTGTGTTTGAACTATTTCAGAGAGTAGTAGAGAAAGTTTCATAATATCAAATTTCAGCATATAGCACCTTTGTAAAGAAACAGCCAGGGTGAAGACTAATGGCAATACAGACTCTATCTAATTATGATGATGATTCCTTTGACTTAGGTGTATAGTACATATCACACTTGATACGGTTCTCTTTATTCTACCTCCGAAGCACCCAAGTGCTTTACCTTAGAGATCACCGGGCCAATTTTCCCTCTCTCCTCCCTCTTCTTCCAGTGTCCTCAACTCTGCATTCTGATTACTATGGTTTGTTCTGGTTTAGTTTCTCAGTTCCTTTGTTTTTTCTATATTCTATGAGTGAACTCATTCAACATTTGTTTTGATCCCTTCTGACTTATTTCACCTGGCATGATCCCTTCTAATTCCATCTATGTTGTCACAAATGATGAGTTCCTATCTTTTATAGCAGAGGATTATTCCATTGTGTATATATACTCTTATTAGCAAAACTACATATAGTCATTTAACAGACCACAAACTGTTCCAAGAAAACCAGTTTTCAGTCCATTGCGCTGTCACTGAGTACTTAGTATGTTTTCAAAATGTGGCTATTATAAAGAGTGCTGCAGTGAACACAGGAGTGCATATATCCTTTTAAATCAGTAATTTTCTGTTTTTCAGGTGGATAGGTAGGAGTGGGATTGCTGGATCATATGGTATGCTGTAAATATTTGGGGAACATCCATACTGTTTTCCCTGGAGGCAGGACCAGTCTACATTCCCATCAAAAGTGTACTAGGGTTCCTTTTTCTCCACAGCCTCATCCTTGTCAACATTTGTTATTACTGGTCTTTTGGGTATAGGCCATTCTCCCTGGAGTAAAGTGGTATCTTATTGTGGTTTTAATGGGTCAAAGACTAAATATGAGTCACTGTTCCTATCTATATAAACTAAATTCAAACCTATGTTTATTGGAACAGCTCTTACAAAGTAAAATCTGTCAGACTGCACCCCAACTTTAAATCCTCACTTTGAATAACAAACTTCTTGTCTTCCAACAGAAAGAAAAACTTATTTCTTAATATTAAAGTAATAAATATTTTCACTAGCAAATAAGGATCCTAGATTGAGCATTTTAGAACCATGGTAGCTGACCTGGGTGTGAGATTTAGAATAATAGCCTGCTAAAATCATGATCACAGTATAAATACAAGCTGCGCGAAAGTAGCTGCCTGGGGTGCTCCTGCTTGTCCTTGGGCTGTGCGGCCTACCTCTGCACACCATAAGTTTTTGTACTGTTTCATAAACTGAGAAAGTCTAGAAACAGTAATAAAAACATAGACATATAAAAGTACTACTGCAGGCTAGCCTAGTGCCTTAAAAACTTAAGTACCTTTAAGAACTCATTCCTCTAGGAGAACATATCTGGTTATTTCCACAAGGAAGATGCACTAAAGATCAAATCTCACAGGACTGTTGTAGTTTCAGCTAGGTCACTCCTATGAAATTATGGCAAAGGGGCCTAAGGCAAGTCTCATACAAAGTTTCCAGATGCACTTCTGCTTTAGGTAGTGCTTCATGATCATATACCAGGGTAGAAAGATGGGACAAGGACGGAATACCAAGAGAACATATTTCACCTTCAAAGGTAACTGGACAGCAGCCCCAACTTACCAGCATAACTTCGTTGATTAACATTTCCACCTTTTTTAATACAATGACGAACTAAGTAAGTGTCATTATGCAGAGATGCCTTATATAGCAGATTCTCTCCAAAAATATTTCTCCGGTTAATGCTAGAAAGAGTTATATTATTTATCTTCATTTTTTCTGAAATGAGAGAATGAACAAAAGAAAAAAGTACTCATTTGAACATCAGAATACAGGTAAACGAGTGAATCTAGTCAACATTCTAATATAAAGGTATAGTATGTAATGAAAGAGAATGTCACCCATTAACCCAACCACACTAGTACATACATATACAAAGGCATAAGAAAAATGTCATTAGTTTTAAGATAGTTAATTATAAGCTATGTAATTAGCTTATAGTAAATGAAATTCCTTGAAAGGTGCATGTATGACAATCAATTTTTAAAAATTCTGTTGAAAAGGATAATTTAAATCAATAACTAGGTGTAATTAATCCTAAAAAGATGTTATCATACCAAAGACCAAAATATCTTATAAAATACATGAGGAGGGCCCTCCTTGGTGACGCAGCGGGTTAAAGCCCAGCACTGAGAATCTAAAGCCACTTCCGCATGAGTTCAATCCCGCCTGCCCCGGAGGTGACCACATGGCGTGGCAGACCTCTCCTGACCCGCCCGCTGCTCCCCTCAGCAGTGTACTTCGTCGATCTGCCTGTTCTGCTCCCCTCTCTGTCTCTGGTGAAGCCTCTCACCACCCCTGAGCCTCTGGCCTATACCCCAGATCTGTATGCACAAATAAATAAATCTTTAAAAAAAAAAAATACATGAGGAAATCTTAGTAGTATATAAGGAAGATGCAAAAATTATCCCCACTGAAACCAGTAAAAAGAAAGCTAAATTTTCTTTGCTAAAAACAGCTGTCATGAAATTAAATAAAGACCATACCTAACTGCTTTAATTTTCTAAGCTAGGAAATGTACAATAAAAATAAGTTTCCAGTGGATGCCTATCAAGTATCAATTCTTTTCCATGCCTTTTAAAATTCTGAAACTAGTCAATGAGATAGTTCTAATTCTGTCAAATTTTGTGTTCAATATGCATTTGGTTTTTGTGAATTTTAGAACAGTTTTAATAGCTTTTTCCAATTTTCATCTAGCTAACCTGCCCCAACCTAAAATGTCACAAAGGTATTTGGGTACTTTTAAGAAAGCAGTAGTTTTCTTAATGGACCAAAATTTAACTGGTTTGCCTGTCCTAATGCCTTCCATTCAGTAGCACTGTGAAACAAACCAGCTGCTGAACATTTTATAGACACACAAACTAATATCTAAAATAATAATTTGCCTTCTTTTCTATTTTTCTTTGTATGATTTCCCAGTCTTATGACAGGTTGGTCACACCACATATATTTCAGACTTAAAATTTAAATTTGAAAAGGGTTCTGTAACTATTCTCTCCAAAGTAGAAGTAGTAAAATGAGCTTATAAGTCAGAAGTTTAAAAACATTCCTACCTATGTTATAAATGAACCAATGAAAATACTTACCTGAATCTCCTCTGCAGTAAAACGAGAAATTCAGGAAAAACAAATATTCACATCTTTTCTAGTACCATAACTCTGTTTTTGTAAGTTACTACTTATAGAAATACTCAAAATATGCCTCACCATATTTTTCTGAATTTTTTTTGTTTTTCCTGATCAGTTCTCCACTCTTCAATCTGGATGAATGTTTATTTGTTTCTTTCCCTTCGATCAGTATAGTAGAATCATGCATTCTTGAAAAGTAGAGTTTTTAAAATTACTATCATGTTCTCTATAAGCATTCAGAGAATCAAACCAAATTTTAACTAAATCTTTAAAGTTCAAAGATATTTTACTGAAATGCTGTCAAGTATCATGGCAGTTTTAAGTATGGAGATGATTCATTAGTAAACTGCAGATAATTCTGGGGTTGTGTGTCATTCAATATGGTTTCTAGCCTTCTCTTTGTGCATTCGTGGCTTCTCTCCTTTAGGGAGTCACCTGCAGAAGTATGTATTCTGAGTCTTTTGTACTCCTCATTCCAGTTTGGCATGCCACTAGCCACACTTTTCATCTTCTTGGAAGAAAGGGACAGGCACTTGGCAAGGAAAATAAAAGGACTTACCATGATCAAAAAAAGAAACAGAGGTCAAAAATAAACATACATGTCCCCAGGCCCCACAGGTGGCTCAATGGGTTAGGATGCAGCACTGAAAGCTTGCCACAGCCACTGCAGTGCAAGTTCGATCCCCTGCCCCAGAGGTGACCCACATGGCACAGCAGACCTCTCCTGACCCACCCACTTCTCCCCTCAGCAGTGTACTTCATCAATCTGCCTGTTCTGCTCCCCTCTCTGTCTCTGGTGAAGCCTCTCACCACCCCTGAGCCTCTGGCCTATACCCCAGATCTGTATGCACAAATAAATAAATCTTTAAAAAAAAAAAATACATGAGGAAATCTTAGTAGTATATAAGGAAGATGCAAAAATTATCCCCACTGAAACCAGTAAAAAGAAAGCTAAATTTTCTTTGCTAAAAACAGCTGTCATGAAATTAAATAAAGACCATACCTAACTGCTTTAATTTTCTAAGCTAGGAAATGTACAATAAAAATAAGTTTCCAGTGGATGCCTATCAAGTATCAATTCTTTTCCATGCCTTTTAAAATTCTGAAACTAGTCAATGAGATAGTTCTAATTCTGTCAAATTTTGTGTTCAATATGCATTTGGTTTTTGTGAATTTTAGAACAGTTTTAATAGCTTTTTCCAATTTTCATCTAGCTAACCTGCCCCAACCTAAAATGTCACAAAGGTATTTGGGTACTTTTAAGAAAGCAGTAGTTTTCTTAATGGACCAAAATTTAACTGGTTTGCCTGTCCTAATGCCTTCCATTCAGTAGCACTGTGAAACAAACCAGCTGCTGAACATTTTATAGACACACAAACTAATATCTAAAATAATAATTTGCCTTCTTTTCTATTTTTCTTTGTATGATTTCCCAGTCTTATGACAGGTTGGTCACACCACATATATTTCAGACTTAAAATTTAAATTTGAAAAGGGTTCTGTAACTATTCTCTCCAAAGTAGAAGTAGTAAAATGAGCTTATAAGTCAGAAGTTTAAAAACA